TGCATTGTTTGTTTCAACACAGTGTATTTTGAGGAATGCTTTTACTAAAATCATGATATAACTTTGGTATGGGTGTTTAGAATACTGACTACGCGATTGATAAATTAGTATGTATAACTGATTTTATATTGTTATTGATATTTCTAGAGAAAGATCCATGTGGTCAACTTCCATCTTGCGCTCCATCTCAGTCAAAGTACTTGTTCAGGCTCCTCCTGATATGCAAACATCAATGGAGAGAAATGTATCGTTGGGTGCCAATCTGGAGGATGTGGCATTGTAAGGTTACATTATGGTATCTGAGACTGTGGAACTGGGATAGGAAAAAGGTGTTCTGGATACACTCTAGTTTATGAGAGAAATGCATGGACTTCATTTTATATCTTACATACATGTATCACATACAATATATGCTCCTTTTATCTTATATGTATGAAGATCAAAATTAATTCAGTAAAAACTGGTAAGATATGTATAAACATAGATATTACAGTAAATGGTAATACAACATCGGATAATAACCACAGTTTATAAATACTTACCATAACTTATGATCATCACATTCCTTCAACATGTTTAAATCAAACAGTTTTTAGCGAATGTCTTTTCTGTTAAGGGCAAGACTTTTAACCATTGATATATACTGAAATTTCATTTAAATTTGTTTTACATCATTGTTTTATAAATACGGGATATTTCAATACGGTTTTTAGACGAATAGTAAAATATATATTTTAATTGAGATAGGCTTTGCACGGCTTCATGTGCAATATCCTATTTTGGAGAAAACCTATAGCCATTTTGGAAATATAACAAAATTATACAGTCCCAGATACAATCATTTTCTTGTCAGAGACTTTTCATTGATTTTCCATTATGAACATATTGATTATAATATATTTATTTTATGTAATAATTACCAAAAAAAAGTAAAATAACAAAAACATCGAACTCCAAGGAAAATTCAAAATGGAAAGTCCCTTATCAAATGACAAAATCTAAAGTTAAAACAAATGGAAAACAACTGTTAATTTATACCTTTACCAAACCTATTACAACTAAAATTACAATTACAAACACGTGTATCAGGATCTCAGTATTGACGACTTCAAGTCTAAACCTCCTGATTGCACCTGTGTTCGTTCCCCCATTCATATATTATCGACATGGCCACGTTATTACCGGTGATCTAAACATTGTCAATAACATGTATCTGTGAAAAGTGTTATCCAAAGGCCCGAAATATCGTGAGCCTAGATCCATCAATTGGAAACACAACTTCAAAATACTGATAGATTCAGTCGAGGATTATGCCAGGCAATGGGTTAAATACGGGAAAGAATATGTAGATATTCTTTCCGAATGGATTAAGGCTTTGAGGTAGTTGATACAAATCAGAATTAAGAAACTGAATGGGTCTATTAGTAACCATGCTACATCAACCTTTAAAGACCCAAATGTTGCAAAACACTTGTCCTACCTCCATGACAAATATGTTGTTGTCCCCGCAGATAAAGCCCAAAACAACATCGTTTTTGTGTGTAAATCACATCACATAAACTGCTTGATAAAGAATTAGGTATTGCCAATTCACTCGGAAACTCAAGATATACCCCCACGATACTTACTAAAGAGGAAATCCTAGATAATCATAGGTATGTTATATTTTCTTTTGGAATTTCAACCTAAGATGAAGATCTTCTATCAATAAAATTGAGAATGGAAATGGGGAATGTGTCAAAGAGACAACGACCCGACCATAGAGCAGACAACAGCGCGTGCCACCAATGGGTCTTCATTGCAGCGAGAAACTCCCGCACCCGGAGGCGTCCTTCAGCTGGCCCCTAAACAAATATGTATACTAGTTCAGTGATAATGGACGTCATACTAAACTCAAAATTATACACAGGAAACTAAAATTAAAAATGATACAAGACTAACAAAGGCCAGAGGCTCCTGACTTGGGACAGGCGCAAAAATGCTGCGGGGTTAAACATGTTTTTTGAGATCTCAACCCTCCCCCTATACCTCTAGCCAATGTAGTAAAAACAAACGCACAACAGTACGCACAGTAAAACTCAGTATATGAGAAGTCCGAGTCCGATGTCAGAATAGGAAACAAAAGAAAATAAACAAAATGACTATAATACATAAATAACAACAGATTACTAGCAGTTACTGACATGCCAGCTCCAGACCTCAATTAAACTGATTGAAAGATTATGTCTTCATCATATGAATATCAGGCACAACCCCTTCTGTTAGGGGTTTAGTATTATACCGTCATAAAATATATGAGAAGAACATAACCCGTGTCATGCCAACAACTGGTTTTAGAATAAATGTGTTTAATTCCGATGCAAAGACCCTATAAGTGAATCAATATTAAAGCCAAAATATGCAATCTTCAATGACCTGACAACAGTATCGTAACTATAATGTATTGTATACCTAAACTACATAAGTGTCCTTATAAACAACGGTATATTGTTTGGTCTTCCAGGTGCCTCTTTCTTAATTGTTTACATTAGTTTTATCAGCAATCAAAGCCTGGCTTCTAAGTTATTGTGAAACTATTTATTTTAGAGGTGGTGTGAATCAGATGTTGATACTAAAAAAATCCAAAGATTTTTAAGGGTACATACAATCTTAGACTCTTTCATCTTGGCAAAGTATTAAAACATTTGTCTTTTCTACACTTTACACAAGTCTTCCCCATTCCAAACTAAAAGACAAATTGAAAGGGTTGGTCCTGCTTTGTTTTATAAAAACAGAATGGCCAACGTGGATACAAGTATCTTGTCTTAGGAAGGGATAAATCCTACTATGTAAAAAATCACTCTGATTCAAACAAAAAAATCTCTGAAACTGTCTTATCAAGATTCTTAATTTCTTGATTGACAACTTATTTTTTACGCTTGGAGGACGTATTTTTCAATAAACAATCGGCATTCCCATTAGATCCAACTGTGACTCTCTTCTTGCCGTCTTGTTCCTTTATTCATATGAGGCTGACTTCATACAGGAACTTCAGGAAGAAAGAAAAGAAGTAAGCAGTATTCTTAAACTTTACTTTCCGCTATATAGATGATGTTCTCTCACTAAATATTTCACAACTGTGTCACTATGTTGAACACATCTATCACATCGAACTTGAGATAAAGGATACAACAGATGCAGTTAACTTTGCCTCATATCTTGACTTATATCTAGAAATTGACAATGAGGGTCGTATAAAAACAAAACTTTACAAAAAAAGGGATGATTTCAGCTTCCCATTTGTGAACTTTTCATTTCTATTAGCAACATTCCAGCAGCTCCTGCATACGGAGTATATATCTCCCAGTTGATACGATATTTCAGGACTTGTATTTCCTATCATGATTTCCTTGATAGAGGGTTAATACTCACAAGGAAGCTATTAAACCAAGAGTCCAAATATTGAAGTTGAAATCATCCCTTTGTAAATTTTACGGACACCATCACGAGTTGGTTGAAAAATATCCGTTTCACAGATGATGGCGAATATGTTCCTTATGTCGTAAATATAATCGCGTCCCCTTTTTCCCGAATGTGACCTACTGATATAAACTTATTATCGGGTTTGTACTAACATGAGCAAGACGACGGGTGCCACATGCTTACCCTTCCAGAGCACCTGAGATCACCCCAGTTTTTGGTAGGGTTCGTGTTGCTCAGTCTTTAGTTTTTTATGTTGTTTTGTGTACTATTGTTTGTCTGATGGTCTTTTTCTTTTTTAGCAAGTCAGGAATATGGCAGTTGTAATCGGACAGTCCGTTTCTATGTATGTTGGCGTTTGCTTTTGTTGAAGTTCAGTGTTTCTGTTGTTCCGTTGTTTTCCTCTTATAGTTGATGTGTTTCCCTCGGTTTTAGTGTATTACCCGGATTTGTTTTAGCTTATCGAATCATAACTATTGAACAGCGGTATACTACTGGTGCCTTTATTAGCCATGGTGTTGTCAGTTTATTTTCGACTTATGAGTTTGAATGTGCCTCTGGTATCTTTCGCCTCTTTTTTATATTACTGACTTTGTACAGGCTTTTCCTTGTGAAGACAATGGTGGATTAAACCTGGTTTTATAGCTAGCTAAACCTCTCAATTGTATGAAAGATTCATACAATTCCATTATATTAACAACAATGTGTAAATTTACTTTTAAAAATCAATACATTTATATAAATAAACATACATTTTAGATCTTCATAATTGCATTTTTTAAGTTACAAAATCAACTTATGTCGAATCTTTTCTTTTTTTTTTATTTATAGGGTTTGTGTCCAATTAGTACCTCAGTTACTCTGTGTAGGAATACATGCTAGATGGAAACAACCAAGACTGTACAGTAGGTCAAAGCTGTTGTAGTAGATGATGTTGTCGGGATCCAATTTTAGGTACGTTTAACCGATTTATTTTGGAATCAAACATTTGTATATTTAGCGCTTTGGACTCACACAATTTATGAAAGGTTATTTTCAATGTATTGCAAACACTACACTACAGCTGGGTATTGATCCGTAGATCAAAGACGAACAAAAACGCATTTTGAAACCATTCGAATGTCATTTAGATGGTCAGTGTAGTGGAAGACGGAAATATTGCAAATTTAGATGTCGGAATTATTGTGTAGATCCGGAAGACAAAACAGAACTGTGGTGATAGAAACATTTAAAACCTAAAATCTCTAGGAACATGTAAATTTATTTTTTATTTCATATTCTAATATGACGTGCTTCTTTCGCTTTGTAATAACACCGTGATAAAATGCTCCATATATCTATACTTAGCGCAGATTCAGAGATGTACATAATAATGGCTGTTACAAAATACCTCCCACGTAAATCCACATGTATTGTAACCTATGTGCAAACGCTATGTCTATTTCGCTGTATAAAAATTTCAATTGAAAAAAAAACTACAGAACCTTTATTATTATCATGCTGCATAACAAACAAAAAATAATGCATAAGAGCTTGGCAAAATGTACAAAATCAAAATAAAATAAAATTCCGCGAAATTCCATTAATGAATTTGGCGCCTTGAAGTCATTTCAAAACATGACGTCATACGAATGAAAATACCAAAGCTGAAGGTTTTTCCTTTACGTGAACCCGCCAAATTCGGAAAATATTCATTAAAATGGAGTCTTGAGGTAGTTGATGTTTTATTTTCTATTCTATTGCATTATTCGCACATTCACTGATTTCAGCAAGTCAACATGGCTGCTCCTTAGTTACGAAATGTCAACTGTGGATTTCACGGTAGCTTACGAGAAAATAAATGTAAAGTAAAAATAACAAATGTTAGGATTCAGATTTAAAAGAATTAAACACATTTTTTCTATCGTTTATTTGAGAAATAATTCATGCAAGCTATAGATTTATTTGACATGTTCAGCTTTATCAAACATTGGGTAAAATAGAACACCCACACACACGACATACCCACCCTCGCTTCAGTTTTATTTTTTTTTTTTAATTACAATATTTGTCCTATTAGAATCGAAATAATATCACGGCCCAGGCCATGTGTAAATTTTCAAAAAATCTAGATATAAAAAATAAGAAGATGTCGTATGATTGCCAATGAGACCACTCTCCACCAGAGACCAAATGTGAGAGAAGTTTACAACTAAGGTCATGGAAACGTAAAGTCAGCTATAAAAGGCCCCGAATTTACAAATGTAAAACAATTCAAACGAGAAAACTAACGACCTGATTTATGTACAAAATAATGAACGAAAAACAAATATGATATACAGCAACAAACGACAACCACTGAATTACAGGCTCCTGACTTGGGACAGGTACATAGAGAATATGGCGGGGTTGAACTAGTTTGTTGGCGCCAAACCCATCCCTAACCTGGGACATAGGTGTAACAGTAGGACATAAGAACAAACTATAAAAATCAGTAGAATAGGATTTATCTCATCAGATAAGCATATTTTCAGAGCTCCCTTTCGATTTCTTATAGTTGAAAATTGTTTTAATGCATATTCGTCTATAGTATACAGTTTTCCTTTTGAGGGAGTAGGTCGTATAAACAAAAAAACAGACAGCAACCAATAAATAACAAAAACACAATTGCAAGACAATGAACCTTGTTTGTAATCTGTATTGTTCATCTATGTATGCGTTTTGATATACAATTGATCGAGATTAAACAATAGGAGGATTGAGAGGAGAGTGTTTGTCATTTGGATCGTTTGGTTTTGCACGCAGGTCTCTTTTTGTCTCTTGAATTTCTTCTCATTTTTCTTGATTGTGACATATCATATAGACATTTGTGCTTGTTTGAACTCTAAATGTCTTCTGGTTTTTGTATCGTTTGGTTGCTCTCATCTGCGTATCCCACATATCATTAAATGCATGTGTAAGAAACATATTAACGATTTCTTCCATATGCATTGCATGGCATAGTCAAGTCTGGATGAGGGAGTCGCAACATTTACGTAATGATTATATTCTAAAAATAATCTGTTTTGGCGATGCTGCTAGTTACGATAGGTATGCTAGGAATATAATTGCCTTGTAACTGGCATTGACAAAAATTGAAAACTAAAGATTCTCTACGTTAAAAGTTTTCACCGTTATTTCAATTTCAAAAGATGTTTTTCTTTTAAGCTTGGTATAAAAAAACATGAAAAAATAAACAAACAAACATAATTTAAGGTTGGAACTAAAATATACAATAATGTACCAACCAGAATATCTAAGTGCACTAGTTTTAGATTATATTTGGATAAACAGCATGGGAAATCTTTGAATTCTTTAACATATGTGTCGAAATATAACCACTAGTTAAATAGCCAGGTCAGAAAACACACAGGTAATTCAGTGTGATACTAGAAATACAGCGCCTTGCGAGAAACAGACCACAACCATAACAGAACAAATGTTTATCTCGGAAAAACTTTTTACAATCATAGAAAAACTAATCCCATATAAAAAATAAACGAAGATGGAGTGAACAACTTCCAATGATATTGTGAAAAGGTGTCCATGTATGCTCTCCAATTAGGGGAATCCAAAATTAACTATCCTCCTCACGAATGTTGTTGAAGTCATTGTTTAGAACGTCCATATCGAACAAAGAAAGGGTGGCTGACCCTATATGTTGAAACTCAAATATTTCAACAACAAAAAATATTCAAATTACCACTACAGAATTAACAAAGTTAATTAATACAAATACAAAATACGGGAAAAAAAATAAATAAAACATGATGTAGTTACAATTCAAAATTGAAGAGTAGAAGAAAACCAACTAATTTGCACAAACAAACACACATACACCCTTACACACACAAACACGTAGACACACACACACGTTGTCTATAAAATCATTAAACACTTAACGTTTTCTATACGACTCCATTGTGTACACTGTGACACATTGCATATAATCATAATTAGTTAGATTCAAGAGATTTATGCAAATTTGTGTACTGTTTGTTCCCTTAATAAGAATGATTATATTCTTCACAATATGGCTGAGTTTTAAGACTGCTGCAAAATAGAGTGATATGGCTGAAATGAAATAACCATCTGACAACTTACTGCATATCCTGCATTTCTACGTATTCATTACTATGTGCGCTTTCTCTTAAAACGTGTTGGCCTATTTCAACGTTATTGTCTACTTCATATATGCGATTGTTAACACCTATGTTTTGGTCAATTTCTGAATGTCGGTAAAAGAATGCTTTGTGATATTTTGTATGTACACAAAAGCAACCAATACTAAAGCAAAGGATGAGAAAAGTGCTGAATCCAAGCAATGAATAAATAAACACTTCCGTTTTTATCATACCTACAACACAACAAGTATTTGATGTTGCATAAATAATATTGAAATGCTCTTTATATAAGGACACAATTTGCAAAATAATTTATAAATAAATAATAGATTTAAGGATGTACTTAGGTGAAATAAAAAAAAAATCTATAATTTAAAATTGATACTTTAAGTCAGAAGAGCGTTAGTGAAGGAACAAAATAAGCTAAAAACATTGATAGGTTATGGAGCTCCTTTTCAAGATATTTAACTCTTAAAAAAAGGCGGGAAAAGGCTGACTCGGACCTTTACCTTATATTTGCATTGGTATTATTTGGGTCTCAAATCGAAAGAAAAGAAATCTAAAATCTGCTTAAAATTTGGTAAATGACCTTTTATGAGCTATTGAAGTCTTATATGAAAAGACAAATGGGTGTTATGAGGCAAAATACTTTACCCTGTATCGTAGAAAAAAAAAGAAGGAGTTCGAAGATCTGACACAAATTCCTCAACCTCACCTTAGTACATCCTTAACAGTCTTGATTTTTTTATTTGAATGGTAGTCTTTTTTGTTGCTTTTTTTTTTTTTTTTGTTCTATTTACTTGTATGTTGTATGCTGTATATATATGTCCCTTTACGAAGGGCGTATACAACAGAACATAGTTAAATCATGCATATTTGATATCGCTTAATATCAACTCGAGCTATTTAATATCAATATAGAAATAGACGACCTTTGGCGAGTTTATTATTACTATCTGAATTAAATAACGAGAGTTGATATCAAGCGAAATTCAATTCACATGAGTTGTTAAATATATTTCTCATTTCGGAAACATTCTCTTTGTGTTTTTAAAATGTCCGCAACTCGTCGGTCCGGTCTTTTGCACATACCTGTATGGCGTCGTTTGTCCTGTTCCTGTGTCAAACTTTAACAACAGACATTTAAAAACATTTTGAACGCTCAAGAATGTAACAAAATTTGACAATAATTAGATTATCCAGCCTAGGGTGTGCGCGTTTTATATATTATTGAAGAAATGTCATACATCCGGTGTCTATTAGCAAATATACATGATTTTGACATTTGAAAGTCATTAATAACGCAAGTAACAGCCAGTGGAATTGTCACAATATTGTTTCATAATGCTGGATATTAATTCAATCAAATCAACACATTTTCCGTATCACTTTTTCGTATCACCCTCCATGCCGAGTGATACGAGAAATATCTCTAGGGACTTTCCTTTTTTAATTTTCTTCGGAGTTCAGTATTTTTGTGATTTTACTTTGCATCATGTGATAAATAGATAACAGGCCACAGCTATACACGAATGAACATTAATTGATCTTATCACTATATTACAACTGTTAAATTGTAATTCTAAACGAAATCCCTTGGACGGTAAATGAATTATACACGGTCTACATAGCTGAGAGGGATAACGTGCAGGGAATTTAAATTCTTTCTCTTCTCTTAATTCTTATATTTGTATTTTTATTGATATCCTCTATGTTGTGTTTCGTATACTTTTGTATTTCCATTGTTCGTTTTTCGACATATGATTTTGAATATCCCTTTGGTATGTTTTGCCTTTCTTTTAAAAAAGTGTTAAACGATTTAGAAATACCGTTTATCATTGATTATGAACTTCAAATTATAGATAGGTGTATTCATTGATGGACCAAACAAGCAATTTAATGGGTTTTATGAGAGGAAGTTTGCGAAAGGTTTATTGATAAGTATTAACATTATTTACTCGTATACCAAAAACAGTGGTTTTTTTTCAAATATTTGACTTCTTGGTTTAGTTTTCTGTTAATTATCGAATAACCTACAATTGCCGTTTTGAGCAATTTTCATCACGTTATTCCAAACCTTATTTCTTCTTTCTGTTAATGACGGAATACAGAAAACAGCGCACTTAGTGGGATGAAAAGGTAAAATATCAAGTTCGTTTTATCAGTCAGAGAAAATCGAGAGAAATTGAACATTTACCTAAACATGCATTCATGGAAGATGCTGTTTCCATCCCTAATGTTGGAGCACTGTGTTCTATTGGCAGCCTTGTCGCAGTGTCGCCTGAAAGTCAATCGTAAATTAATTTTACTGAATGCAGACATATGAAAGTGAATAAATGTGCTGTATTGACTTGAACCATATTCACCAAATATTCAAAGATTCTAACATGTTTGTGTTTTTTGTACACTTTTAACATATTAGTGCAATAAATGGCTATTTTCGTCTTTAATAGAATCACGTCTAATGTTATAGATTACCTCCTAAGTTTGTAAGATTGGTAAGACTTGGTTATTCCCTGACGGTTCATATATCTCTTCGTGTGTTTACATAGTTATACATCTTTGACTTTCAAGTTTTGGTTACGAACGTTTCTGGTGGAGGTTAATCCTAATAAGCCCTTCGGACTGAACAAATCTTTAAAGTGACGATTTCATTTTTCAATTATTTTTGTACAGTTGTCGACATCCTTTACAATTACGAAAACATTGCTACGATACGGAAGAAAGTAATGTAACTTAGAATGTCATAGTCGAAAGCCCTTTCTCTTGATTATACATATGCGAAAGATATTTTAAATAATTTTGTAAAGAAACAGCAACAGAAATAACAATTGAGACAAATTAAAAAATCATCCCACCTTTAAATGCTTGAAACATTCGAAAGATATAGGAACTTAGTTAATCCACTAAGTTCTTACAATTAACTAAATTCGTACAATTAATAGCCGTTTGAATTTCTTGATCATATAGTGAAGGTAAATTGTTACTTTTGAAATCTATATACAGTAATATCTTTATATTTTGATCTTTTCAATTTCATATAATTTTCAAATGTGCATTTTTTAATTGACCGTCAATCTGCAATACCTGAGATCTTTGAGATACACCAACATATCTTTAGTTCATCGTAAGTTACTTATCCTGGACCCAAAAAAGATATCTAAATCGTACCAAACCAAACAGTAAAATAATAAGCTTGTCTACCTAAGGAAAAATAAATTTTTTACAACAAAAATAAAAAAACGAAAGGATGACGTTGTTTATGACAAGATTATGTCATGCACATCAAAGTCAAAGACGCACAATGGCCTGTCTGACTTTCTTTACAAATTGCCTTCTTGATACTCTGTGAAAACAAAAATATGCAAAGAATATTTCAGTGGCGCACAGAGAACAAAATATATAATATAAAAGGACATAAAGAATAGTAAAAGTGTTATTATAAAGGTTTAAAGACGTTGTGTAATTAGAATATTTTTAAAGATCTTTTACCGGAATGTTAGAAAGGTTTGACAACACAATGAGAACAATTTTATAGAGTCTTCTTACGCAGAATATGATATACCTAATTGCTTAACCTTTTTAAAAATGTAAGCATCTTTAACTTAGAACATGGTTATCTGCAGAATTCTAAACGAAAACTCTAACTCTTTTGAAGATGAGACAAACAAATAGTGCTCTATAATTATAAAAACAACATATATTATTAATATATTATTTGATGTTGTTCGAATGAAGTTAACATAAAGGTTTTATATAAATTACCATGTGTGCTGTCAATTTCTTTGTAAAACTGATCATCTTCTATGCATCCATATACAGTGTGGCATCTGTAGACAAATATTATTTTAATTTAAAATGTTCAAAATGATATGAAAAATAATATATGTTCCTCATGTTGACATTGTTTGACGCAAGTACATGTACTACAGTTGATTTCAAAATTGGCAATTGTCTTTGAGATACAGGGTTATAACTTAAACAATTTCTTATATTCATGATAATGTTTCTTTTTTAATGAATACGTTTTCCAAACATTCAAGAATGAATTGGGAAAAAAACACAATATTTTTTTCCTTACAAATCTACGATTTGTGGTGAGAAGTTTACCTACGATATTTTTTACACAAAATAAATAGCGTGCTACAATGATCACCATTATAGTTCAATAAGTTATTTTCGCCGTTGACTGTCGGATTAGATTTTCTTCATTCGGTAATTTAATATAAAAAAAAAGACAAACGATCACAAGTTTATATGATTTATAGCAAACCTTTCTAAAATGTTCTGTAAATAAATGTTTGAATCATAAAGAAATTAAGGTTTAAACTCCCAAAGGCAAAGTTGACCTTACATGGATTTGGCTATTTTTAAGGCCCTTTCTGGTCATATAGCTCTTCAACTGTTTCGGTTCTTATACATCATTGGATTTCACGTTTTTTCTTAAGAAGCCGGAGGCTTAAATATTTTTACATCAAAAACTAATGCAACCTTTTCATGAAGAAGCTTCATTTATAGATTAAAAATGATTTACTTCGATTATGTATGTGCCTTCTTTTTTTTTATAGAGAAGTGACCATTGGTAATCAATTAATCAACTTTTTTGTGTCAAATAACAATGATTATTTTTAATTTGATATAACCTGTCATACATGTTTATAGCGCTTTTTTTATGTTTGTTCCTTCATTTTTTGCGGTGAATATTGATTTTCAAATCTTGATACTTTTTTAATGTTATGTCAGTTGTATTTCTATTAAACCTTATTACTATTTTGGATTCTTCGACACCTGTCAAACAACAATAACAATTGCTTTTGAATTGTTGCGTCACACATTTTCTTTTATTTATGAGAACATATGTGATGGCCAGTAATGATGAACAAACAGCGATAAAGTGTATTTTTAGTTTCTTTATATACATTTCAAATGGGTTTTTTTTCTTACTTCGGGACTTTTGTATCCTTACGAGAGGTATCTGGAATGTTGAGGTAGGAGGTTTTTGTGCATGTTGTAATGGAATTAACTTCACAATTACACACAAAATATTTGAGATTTAAGTTTGTGTTTATAATAATACGAATAACCATGATAACGAATTTCATCTTGTGTAATTATGTTGAACTTTTTCCGCCTTGTCCTTAGTACATTTTAAATCCAGTCAATTTTATATCATTGTAGAAAATTATATTGGAAAAGGTACAAAAATACAAAATTCGAAATGAACTATTCCAGTTGGAATTGTTGATAAAATAGATTGTTAATATACCGTTGATTTTCTTTGCAACGACACCAACTCACACATCTGTTCACATATGACTGACAAGGATAACATGTATGTCCTTTCGATGATAAAAAGCCAATCGTACATACTACAATGCAAGTTTAATACAATGAACAATAGTTACAGTTGCTTTTAATAAACTATTTTCATGTTAGACAATATATTGAATAATGCTTCTGTTTCGACAGACTAAGTACTTTCAAGAAGTGATTTAAAATGATACAATAAACTATCTGTTGTATTCAAGGTACAAACTAGGTCTAGCACACTTTCTATTATAGCGTGTGTTTGAAAAGCACACCCCAACAAAGAGAAAATGTAAATACAGTTTCGTATATTGGTATGAACGTCAGAAAAAAACGTCTTGTTAGTTTCATGAATGTATTAAGAAAGCCAATGGAAGAACGTTAATGATAGTTATGCTACATTTGAGCGGGTACTATTTTGTACTATTATTTACGTCTAATAAGCGGAATCCACAACATACTAGGGCCGCTCAAAAATGAAATAAAAAATGATGAAATATTATGTGAAATTTGACTAGAAATTTGCTGAACATTTTCATATCTCTGAAATGAGTTAACGTGTATAAAAAACTAAATAAATTTACAAAAGTCAAAATTAAGTATTATCTCTGTTTCATAATGTTCTCCATGGCAACATTTTAAGCTTTACGGCTTATATTTGTAGAGCAAGAAAAAAAGTAAGGATCACATGTATTGACTATAACAAAGTCTACATTTGTCTCTATTCGCTGACACATGAAGAGGATAAAGTTGAGTAATGGGACGCGAAGTGAGTCCATTCTTTGTCCGTCTACAAAAAATCTCGTTTTTTATAACCACTAATGTTCAATTGATCAATTATAGCTAGGTTCCACTTTGCCTTGGTATTGTTTGTACACTTGAACAAAATCTCCAACGTTGGTTGTCTTATTGTCTTTCCCGATGTTTCGGTTCTGTTCACGAAAAAAAGGTAAAGTAATCATGCTTCAAGTTGTACCACAACTGTTGAATTAATTGAGATTGCAATCGAGATAGTTTGTTAACAGAATCATTGGTGACGTCAAAAGTCGAATCTTCAAAGCCTATTATCAAGGTATTGTAGTGTTGTAAATCCTCCGATCTGTTCTTAAAAACAATGTGATGGAGTTAGCATCTGATGAAACGTAGGTGAACATGGTTAACGGCCAGTTGTTCAGAATAGTTTCAACTCTAGACACAATTGTCGTTAGAATTTCTATGTTGATGAGGGAAAGTTCCAAAACCCTCTTAATACATTGTAATACTTACTATCTTTTTGTAATCCATACTAATCTTTACAAAAAGCCAGCAGACCATGGTGCGCGTTTAAGTATATATGTATATTGTACCGTAGTTGGTGAGATAATCTGTAAATGACACTTATCATGTGGGTTTCTCTATATGCTTAGCGGCTGCAATTTAGGGACTCGATTTTTGAAAACATTATAACATTACATTCCTATGCTTAATGGGACTCAAATGGAATTTCTATTTGATCCTCTAATAATTGTCGTTTGCCAAGAAAGTAAATATCCCAGTTTCGAACTGACAGTCAGTACATAACTTCTACTGCTTTTATCTCCAACTGCACTTCAGTAATAATCTGCTCTAATAAGTAAATTAATATCAAACATGTAATCTTCTGTGTTTGGGTTTGCTAATTTCGACCCACCCAAATGTCTCATGTTAACTACTGATTCCATGTGTGTTTGCAGTGTTAGTGAAATTTCAGGTATGATGAGTACAGTGAGCGGTATGTTTTCTCTATCGTCAGTTTGCAAGTATATCGTTGGTGATTCCATATGCCTAACTGTTCTGTTTTGCTCTCCAAATCCGCAACTGTGAAATAGTTCAGTCCCATTAATACCTAAACCTAGCGTTTTGGCGAAATATTCTGTGGTGCAAGGGAGGAGTGTGATATATTATTACCTTTATCTTTATTTACTTGTTAATGTGATTAGTTCACCCTGACATATTTTGTACATATTCTAGTATGATAGCGTTTGATGCATTTCTTACATGAACTAGATTTGCAGCCAGCTTATTTGTGACAACCGAAGCATTTTAAACATACCTCTCTCTTTTTATTACAGTTATACGTGCATCAACGTTTGTGATTTTATGCACTTAATGGCTGCATGCCCATTTTTGTGACAAAATATGAATAACTTATCTCAGAAACTAATTTTTCGTGTTTTCTGAAAGTTGATTTTGAACACGACTTCATATTAGCTTAAAGATTAACGGTAGCGAATGCCCTTTCTCCTTTTTTCCGGTAATTTTCCGGCTTCCATAATACTTAGTATTCAATTATTCCAGAAGCGTTTGTCGTAAATTATGTAGTGTCCTGTTTGCGGATCTGTGCTACATTTTGAAGTATTTCTGTAGGTAATTTATTGTTTTTTAAATCCGGGTACAAGTACTGATTCATACTATTGGCTGTCTGTCCGAGTGACTCGAGACTTCATACATATTTTTTTGTTTTATCATATAAATAACGGAGGCTAGCTATTGTAGCCTGTAAATCAAGTAACGTCTGTATGTAGGTTTAGACGATTTTATGAGTTTTTTCGTACCTTTCCTGGAGCAGTGCATTGCTTTTTCGTAATTTGTGTTCGTCATGGAAAAACATGCAATAGTTTAATAAGTTTAATAATAGTTTAATAAGTGGTTTGCTGCTGATGACAATGTTATTAGTCCTTTGTTAATTCATGTTGATCATTGTTATTTTGCTTAGTTTCTTCTAACATCGGACTCGGACTTCCTTTAAACTGAGTTTTACTGTGCTGTGCGTAATGCTGTGTGTTTGTTTATTTCATAGTGGCTAGAGGTATAGGGGTAGGGTTGAGATCTCACAAAACATGTTTAACCCAACAGCATTTTTGCGCCTGTTCCAAGCCAGGAACCTATGGACTTTGTTAGTCCTGTGTGGTTTTTAATTTTGGTTCATCTATATGTTTCGGAGTTTAGCGTGGAGTCCATTTGGTTGAACTAGTATAAATTATTGTAAAGAGGGCAGCTGAAGCCCGCCTGCGAGGATGGGATTTTCTCGCGGCGTTGAAGGCCCATTGGTGACCTTGGGCTGTTCTCTGCTCTTTGGTTGGGTTGTTGTCCCTTTGACAAATTTCCCGTTCCCATTCTCAATTCTATCATCTGGAGTCCTGTATTTGCTCTGCTACTTCTTGTTAGTTATTTTACACGTAGTAGGTAGTGCTCCTATAGATTTATGAAGCTTTGATATTGATAATGAAGGGTATTTGTCTTCACAAGCTTTAAGAAAATGTAGCAAAACAAACTGACAACAGCAATAAAAGCGCTTTTCCTTTGCATTTTTGTTTTTTGCTGTGTATGAACTGATTTTGTGTCAGGGATGGATACCCGATATCTTTTCTATTTTCATTATGACAACAGGAGCTTTTCTCCCAAAAAATAATTTAATATTATGTACTAACCCCTAGAAAACAACACAACCTGAATGACAAATATATAAAATGAAATGTTCATAGATTTGCTTCATGTGATATAACACCAATATAGGAAAATCCTTGTTACGCTTTTGTTTCCGACAGATATATGACCTGACGGGGAAGAAATACTCGTTCCCTCTGACCTTCAAATAACTACTCTATTGAAAAAAAACAGTTAAACATATATACTTTATTTGTGTTGCCAATATTTTCATTGTTATTATTTTCGATTGACATACTTGTTAGTGTTAGTATAATTAAATGTATGCATTATTACCATTGTGAATGTTCAACTAGGATCAATAGCGATGGTGGTTATTTGTTTTAATTGGATAAGTTTTACTCGAGTTTTCTGGTTTTCATTTCCATATTTCACGTCTATTTTTCTTGTGATTATTGAAACATATGATCAAATCAGTTTTATTATATTGCGAACGTAATACATGATCATGATGCAACACAAATTTATGTATCCCCCTTGTATTCTATGAAGGCATACATGAATCATGATTTATAGTATTACCGATAGCACAGCAAGCATAGTGGACAACGGAATTTATTAATCATTTACATGTATGTGTATATATAAAAAATGTTCGGCTATAAAATTGTTCACGTGTCTTATACCTAGTGACGTAAACTTATAAAACTATACGCTCGTACCGGAAATACAATAATTTCTCCCTATAATAACAAAAACGTAATAAATTATACTTATTTGGTTGATATAATTTCAAAAATTACCTTTTGAAATATTAAATGCACATGCACAGTTCCTCGGTCATTTGTTAACTTGATTTAATTGAACATTTCATAGAACTTGTAGCACTGTGAGTGACATTTAAGATTTAAAAAAACAGTACCTATGCAAATTCCATCTACCGTTTCGAAATCGTCACAGCACAATGCTTCGCGGTAGTAGGATATTTTTTTTCCATACAATTCATATCTGCAATATTTAAAGAAAAATAACAGTTATGATCAAAATACTGCTGGGATACATATATACATTAAATAGAACTGTAATACTAATATATGATAGTGTAATGTTATAATATCCATTCCATACCAAAATCTTAATATGAGTTGCATAATATTAATTTCCTACATTTTTTCAGTTCTAGTTTATTTATAATGTTGGGGGAATTTAAAGAGGCATTAGCTACAGTTTTGACAAAAAAACGGTTTTCTTTGTTTCATAGATTTTTTCATGTTTCTTGCTTGTATTTCGTATCATGATTTCCTTAATAGAGGATAGCTGCTCACAAGGAAGCTATTAAACCAAGAGGTCCAAGTGGTGAAGTTGAAATCATCCCTTCGTAAATTTTATGGACGCCATCACGAGTTGGTTGACCGTCATGGAATATCTGTTTTGAAGATGACGACGGATATGTTCCAATTGTCGTAACTACAATCCCGTCCACTTTTCCCCGAATGTGACCTACCGAATTAGACTAATCACCGAGTTTGTACTTACATGAGCAACACGACGGGTGCTAGATGAAGAGCAGTATCTCCTTATCCTTCCGGAGCATCTGAGATAACACCTAGTATTGGTTGGGTTCATGTTGCTCAGTCTTTTGTTTTCTATGTTGTGTTTTGTGTACTGTTGTTTGTCTGTTTGTTTTTTTGTTTTTTAGTCATGGCGTTGTCAGTTTATTTTTGACTTGTGTAATGCTGTTTGTCTGTTTGTCTTTTTCTATTTTAGCCATGGCGTTGTCAGTTCATTTTCATAAAGCGGAACTGTGACATAATATTTCACTGTTAGCAGTCATTCTGATTCAATTTCGTCAAAATAAGCTCAAAACATTGGTAATGTATTATTTGCTTGCAAGTCAATAGTTTAACTCATTTGAATCCGTATTCATCCGACCTTAAATTTCACCCTAAGCTAGAAATGGGTAACACATGTGTATAAAATTGAAAATGGAAATGTGGAATGTGTCAAAGAGACAACAACCCGACCACATAACAGACAACAGCAGAAGGCCACCAAGGCCACACATAGCATGTTCAGTTATAAGAAGGAAACAAATGTCAACATTGGAAAGTGAAACTAGGGAGCAATTGGGGAAGATCCATTTTGTTTGACGATTCAGCACACAAAAAATCATACTTATTCAAGTAAAATCATTATTTAAATATTTGTTTGATAAATGATACGAAGTTAAACAGATCTAGAAATATCGTCGTTATAAAATTACACGTCACTGTCTGTGTATTAATATTTATGGTTATCGATTCGAATGATAATCGGTAATCTTTGGAGGTCATGTCGATGGTTAATTAAATATTAAATAGCGTCTAGATAAAATACACGGGCAATGCTTTTCAATTATAACGAGTACATGCATTGTACATTGTTTCTTTACATTTTTTTTAATTTAGATATACGTATTAGTATGTTATAAATCAAATATAAGAATTTGAGTCAAATTCGTGAACTTGAATTTGCCAGCTAATGCCCGTTATATTTTTTCTACGTAATTATATTGTTACAAGTATCCTATAGATATTAGCAATAATTCATTAAACAATAAACACTTAATCTCTTAAGTGCACGTGACATGACACATTATATTGTTATGATAAAAACTGATACCATTTGTTTCCTTTTAATACAGGCTGCTCATTGGATGTTTTAGCAATACGATGGGAATTCCCCAGGAAGGACTTGTGTGCATATGTTCTAGTTACGGCTATTTTGAGGAAACCTGTCCACTATATAGTACACTTCCCGATTGAATTGAACAAAATCGACAACGCAATTCACGTGAAGTAGAACAGGCATTTTGACGTCTTGTTAAATGTATTCGAAATCTATAAAAATAAAAAATAAAACAACTGATGATCAGCTCATTTCTCTAGGGCCAGCGGGGTTAATTATGTATGCCATGAACATATAACATTGTATGCTAATTGAATTGGAGGAAAACCTTATGTTTATTAAGGCCTTACTTCAAATCCAGGAATAAAGCTCAGCGCACGCCGACTGTCAGGATTTGTGATCTCAGGCAGTTCAAATTGACTAATTAGAAATCAAATGCAGAGTTTGAAGAGGTCGTATTATTCCATTAATGAATATACAATTGTAATAATATTTGCAAACTGTTTCGTTTTTCTGAAAATCCAGTAACTAGGTCAAATTGCCAAAAACACTTTTCAAATTCATAAATAGATTTTGAAAAGAATAAATCTAATAAAAGGTTCATATATTATTCATAAATGTCACTTGAATTTTGGACATCAGGACATTGTGTTATATATCAATATACAAAGGTGACCGACTTCGGGTTATTGTGCTCTATGTATGAAGCTATCCAACATAAAGAGGGATGATCATTGTTCATTTGTTCAAGTAGAACTGGCATGCTCAATTGGCATTAAGGACATAGATCTATGACGTCTTCAAATATAATGCCCTGAGGTCATGGATGATCTACATTGATTCTTAAATGTGCGATATATCATTTATAGTTTGATATACACTGAATGTTTAGTTCACGACTGCATTATTGAAGCTATTAATAAACTATGTAATTTTGCATGAACAAAATACCAATCATTTAGAACACACAGTTTCTTCTAGATAACAACTAAGAAATAGTGAGAATTAAATAACATGAAAAAACAGATTTGAATGAAAACACCAAACAAAAATGCAAAGTTAACATACAAAAAAAATAAACAATCGAAACGAAAAATAGACACGAGAGAAAAGCACAGCACCTAAAAAACCTTCTTGTCCATGATCTTCCTTTCTGTAAAAGTAATTGTCCTAATATTTTAAGTTGTATTTACCTTTCATAATGAACACACACACCAATAGTGGAAGCAAGCACAGTCCCAATTGTCAGTGAAAGAAATATACGTAAAATATATCTTAATCCCATGGTGATCTGTGACAAGGAAATTATTGACAATATAGAAAAAAAGGTAAAATATAATTTGATACAAAACGGAAACTTCAAAGTACATTATACACATTTATATCCGATTCCCATGATCGATATATGCTAAATAATATTAATTTCATCTGTGTTAAACCATAATTGAAAGCGGTGCACATGTATAGTTGTTTTTAGTCAGTATCCAGAATTTCACTGTCTGTGTATCAAATGCTTTTCTGTATATTATAATGGTTTCAATTCTGTAGATGTGCCGTGTAGCAATTGTCCTAAACAGTTGACACCTGTTTCAACAAAAACGAAATAAACAACCAACAATGCTTTTTGCCTCTTTTACTTATCTCCATGTTTATAAATTAATCATTACTTCGGTGCCTTTTGTTTAAGTATATTTGTTAAGGTTTTGTGTTTAATAAATGTCGTCTGTTGAGTAAAACCTTTTCCAACTAATTTTTATATTTAAGTCTTACGTTTCAATTTTGCTGTTACTCTAATGTCCAAGGTTATGGGAAAGTTGCAGGCTTACAAACATGTTAAACGCCACAACATTTCATGTGACTGTACCAAGTCCATGTTGTCCATTCAGAAGCCTGTAATGTATTAATTGTCGTTAATTGCTGTCTGCCCTAAATGTTTTTCGTAAATTGTTTGCTGCATACATCAAGTAGTTGATTCTATCTTTTTTGAAAATTGTTTCACATTATGTAATGCCGGGGCCTAACTTTTAATATCTTACAAAACGGTATTGATTTGACTCATTGTTGAACGCCGTACAGTGCCGTATAATTGACAGAGGTAAATGTAACCGTATGTTTGCAATGCAAGCAAATTAGAACATACTTTTAACAGAATGTCGTCTAAAAATTGATCGAATAAAACTTGAACATGTGTCTGTACTATTGTGGTTATTTTGTTATAAAAATAACAAAATTAAAAGTTAAATTATCATGCAAACTGAGTACCTCTTTATATGTGTTAAATGTTACTCTTTCCGTTATATTAGTAAAGGATTAAATGTAAATGCAGTAAAATAAATCAACAGTACGTTTGGAAAGAACAAATTCATAAAAAAATAACTTTATTTTATATATCAAAATGCATACTGAAGCTATTATAGAGAATGGACATTTCATGTAATCGTTATTTGTTCGACTGTCTTAGTGAAAAACTATACATAAGAAAAAAGCATTTATAAATGTTGTGTTTTGTCAGAATTTGTCATTCTTAACTTTCGCTGTTTCTGAAACTTTTTGTCATTTCATAAAATCTATTAATGTGTCCTTTATTTTCATAATTACTGAATACCCCGCCCACATACAGTATAGTATGTTTGTGGTTGGGTTAAACATGTGTGCGCTTTACCCTAATCCTATCACTGGGGCAGTTATTAAACACCACAACTAAAGAACAGGCTGTAACAATAAGTTGGAAGCCATAAAACATGCCAAAACTATTAACGAATTTTAATCATTAACCAACATTCTGCCCGATGAAAACACCGATGTATTGTCTTGCATATACAAATTAACATTTTCTTTGCTAATCGTGTCTTTTAATGCAAAATTTATAAGACGTTGTAAAATATACAATAGTGTAACTATCAAAATTGAGTTAAGCGGCAATGTTAAGCACAGGATAGCAGTTTTTATGAATACATGTGTGATGATTTTGAATCTTAGGTTAGATCGTTTACATTAGTTTCAGTTCGGCAGAAGCCTTATTTAATGTATTTGTAATGAATAAGATGTGTCGAGGATAAACCTTGGGTCAGATCAAATGCTCCAAAGGAAACTGTAATACGAGTAACGAGGCACTTTGGTAGAAAACCCCTCATTCAAGAATGGTACGGCTACCATTGGGGTATATAAGCAGGAGTGATTCCCTCTCTTTGTCATTCGTCTGAAGCTACAAAGACGATGTCCATGATACGTACGGTACGTGATAATTAGAGAAAGGATAAATGAGATCGTTGTCTCTTATATAGTTTCGATTACTAAGTGTAATGAAGAACATGTTGGTGCCTGTTAGTATTCTCTAATATGAAATTGCATTCATGATTGTAATGCAACAAAGGACAAGGTTGAATCCTGTTCTTTAAGACTTGTACAACTTGTAGTTTGTCAAGTATGAAGTTTACCGTACAAGACAAGTGTGTTCAATTGTAGGGTACCACAATGTACCATTAAGACAAGTCGTAGCTTGAAGGGTACCAACATGTATAGAACAAATATGAGTCTGTGTGACCAACTTGTAAGGTACATAATTGTACCAAGAGAACGAGTGACATATAGGACAAGTGTGAGTCTGTGTGACCAACTTGTAAGGTACATAACTGTACCAAGAGAACGAGTGACATATAGGACAAGTGTGAGTCTGTGTGACCAACTTGTAAGGTACATAATTGTACCAAGAGAACGAGTGACGTATAGGACAAGTGTGAGACTGTGTGACCAACTTGTAAGGTACATAATTGTACCAAGAGAACGAGTGACGTATAGGACAAGTGTGAGTCTGTGTGACCAACTTGTAAGGTACATATTTGTACCAAGAGAACGAGTGACGTATAGGACAAGTGTGAGTCTGTGTGACCAACTTGTAAGGTACATAATTGTACCAAGAGGACGAGTGACGTATAGGACAGGTGTGAGTCTGTGTGACCAACTTGTAAGGTACATAATTGTACCAAGAGAACGAGTGACGTATAGGACAAGTGTGAGTCTGTGTGTCCAACTTGTAAGGTACATATTTGTACCAAGAGAACGAGTGACGTATAGGACAAGTGTGAGTCTGTGTGACCAACTTGTAAGGTACATAATTGTACCAAGAGAACGAGTGACGTATTGGACAAGTGTGAGTCTGTGTGACCAACTTGTAAGGTACATAATTGTACCAAGAGAACGAGTGACGTATTGGACAAGTGTGAGTCTGTGTGACCAACTTGTAAGGTACATAATTGTACCAAGAGAACGAGTGACGTATAGGACAAGTGTGAGTCTGTGCGACCAACTTGTAAGGTACATAATTGTACCAAGAGAACGAGTGACGTATAGGACAAGTGTGTGTCTGTGCGACCAACTTGTAAGGTACATAATTGTACCAAGAGAACGAGTGACGTATAGGACAAGTGTGAGTCTGTGTGACCAACTTGTAAGATACATAATTGTACCAAGAGAACGAGTGACATATAGGACAAGTGTGAGTTTGTGTGACTAACTTGTAAGGTACATAATTGTACCAAGAGAACGAGTGACGTATTGGACAAGTGTGTTACATTGTAGGGTACATAATTGTACCAGGAGACCAATTTGTTCCTGACCCAGGACAAATTTGTAATAGTACACATTTGTACCAGTTGTATATATTTTAAGTAAAATAGTTTAGATAGTTTATCAGAGACCGCAAAGAGCAGTTGTATATTATATTTTGGTTCATTAACGTTAATTTATGAATAAAGTTAACTTGTTATATATTTTGTAAATAGAAAATTTTGAATCCAGTATCAAACTGGTAACGAACTCATTCTAAAATAGAAATAGACACGCTTACGTATACCCTGTTGAAAATTGTAAGAAAAGCTTTTGAAGAAATTTTTAAAACTTTTTTAATATTCAAATACTAATAAAAGTTTTATCCTAAATTATAAAAAAAGTTTTCACTAACTTGCAAATGTGAGCGAATCAAATACATAGAAAGAAAAACATGCTATTTTACAGGAAATTACAGGGAGAATAGAGAACATGGGCAAAAAAAATAATGAAAAAAATGGTCTAAAAAATTAAAGAAATAAAAAAAAGAAGGAACCCCGATCCAGACCCTCGTATATACTGTGCAAACATTTATTGATGCACAGTCTAAGTACATTTTGACAATGATCGGTATTTAAATCCGTGTGTTGTTTGTCTAATCTTCCAATCTTCTCTCTCTTCATATCAATGTTTTCTTATAAAAGAAGAATTGGAGCATTTAAACTTGAAAGTTAATTAGTCATAAATCTTTAACGTGTTAAATCGTGTAAACAAACTATAATATTCATTATATTACATATTTAGCTTTCATGAAGGTATGTTTGTGTCTTTTTTTTTCTAATTTTCACTGTACTGTTTGATAAATTTGTTATTTTTTTATTTCTATAAATGCGTGTATACATAAAACGATGGAAGAAGAAAGAAAGAAATCGTAACATTAAAAATGCGCGTACATAAACCAATCAATAAACATAATTGTGCTAAAATTAAAAGAAAAAGGTTAAAATTCCATTCATTATCGAGAATTGCACAGTGTTTTTCTTTTGTACAGTGTAAATGTACACTGTATTAACATCAGAGCTCCTCCTGCAACATCCAAAGGGTTGAATAATGTATATATAATATTAAATATGGTTGTCTGGAATTCTCATTCCGAAAGTTAATCCATGCAAAAATTGGGGGCATTTTTTTACTGTGCGGGACGTATGAACATGAAGTGTCGTCCACTTGGGTCGGATGCTTCGTTTAGAAAAACTAACAGACTATGTCTTACACAGTAGGTTAATGAAGCATTCCAATATTTATTTTAGGGGTCCATAAATGGCATGTACAAGTGAAATGTATAGACTCTACCATACACCCTTTTGATTTGTTACTGTCCAAAAGGCCTGCCCTTCATCCAGGTAGAGCTACTTTTGCAGAGCATATCTGTTTTATTTACTGTAAATGTACTCATCCTTAATATACTAGTACATGAAATGAAATAGTTTTACATAGACTTTCAATAAACAGAGAGAGATGACACCAAACTGACAATAAAACATCATAGGTCCAATATAAACAGACAGCACCATTGCAAAAAAAAAGAATTAAAAAAGATAAACAGTAATAACAAAAATATACACAGAAAAGTAAAGATTGAGTAAGCGGAACCCAAACAGAAAGCAGGGTTGAATTCCGGAAGGGTAACAAAGGAGAATGTCATGTAAGTGCTTATTTTGGCCTAAAATTTGAAGTACATCTTACGAAAGATTTTTGTCATTTTATAAACACTTAAGTGTCTTCTTCAGTCGATTAAATTAGTTTATGTAAAAGATTTGAATTGATTCCGTCATTAAAAACGCTAAAATTCAAGCTTAAATATGAAAAATCTATCAAGTGTGCCATAAAACCTCGCTTTTTAGATGGTTTTTGTCTAAAATGTAAGTGGCCGCATTCGTGTTCAGTCTCAACCTTTATATAATTATGTTATTTATTATAATCAACTACAACTGATATATAAATATTAAGTATTAACGCAAGTGCGGCCACTTCCATTTCAGACAAAACCCGTCTAAAAATTAGCACAAATACTAAAATTGTGAGGATTTTAGTTATTTTGCATGAACTAATGATGCTAGTATCTAATGTGTGTGCACGGTATTGTCAAAAACAGCCCATATTTATGTAACAAAAGTATTCTACTTTTCAATAATAGCTAGAAGTTTACATTTTTAACAAATTTGTGAAAATGCGCTATTTTGGGGTCAAAAAGGGGTCTGACCGGGCCTACTCCTTTCTTTTCCGCTAGTGACACCTATTTAGTTGCTCGTCACAAGTACACACACAGTGATAAGTCGCATTCCATAATATCACAATCAAGCAAAGGAAGGCGGTATTGTGGTTACGGGAAGTTGAGCAAATCATTGGTCATCTGTGACGGATACTCCATAACGGTCAAATCATGACGGCGTTTAACATTTACAACATGCAATCTAAAAAAGAATCCAGAAATTCGTTTTCGAAGACTTGAACTTGATTCCAATATTATTTTGCGCATGTTAACAAACAAACAAAACAAAACAAAAACAACTTACCCTCCCACACTCCACCCCACCCCTAAAAAAACCGAATTGATGTGAATATACGAAATTGTTCATTACCTCGATACTCCTAAATAATGAAATCTTCAACCAAAGAACAAGACTTTTTCTTTTGTTCTAGACAATTATATCGATCAAATAAGTCTGGTTTCGCACTTGCATATATCCATTTCCTATGCATTTCTCTCAAATAGCAAGTTTTGGAAGTATGTTTTCCCCTTGGTATGCCAGACCATATTTTGTTTGGAACGGTTTTCAATTATGAAGAGAAATATTGCTTCGAGCACTAAATCATACACCTTGAATAAAAATACCATTGAAATGCCAGTAAAAATACAAATTGAAATGCGAAAACAAATACCGTTGAAAGTCCACTTTATGATTACCACACACACATCTTGCATTATTTATTTATTTTTTTTATTGTTTTTACAGTTGACTTTTAGCATAGAACGTAATGGTTTGTAAAGGTCTAGATCTCGTTTTCTTGTCTCTGGTATTGTGGCTAACATTAGATTGGTCAAGAGCAAACATTTTCAGTCCGAAACGTAAGTATCTTATACATTTGTACAACATATGTTCAGATGTCTACGTGAGCGGGTGTCACTATACTAAAACGGGCAAGAACTGCTGACCATTCCAGAGCACCAGAGTTGGATTGGTTGATTGGATAACTTGCAAAATATACCAATCAAACAACGCAAAAAAAAATGAGAATATCACATGAACTCTAAACGTACATTGTGTAGCTAGGTCAAGACCGGTAATATGGTGACGTTCTCTCGGTATGCAGTAATCATCCGTTCAAGAATATCAACACAAGAAATAGGACAGTCGGAAATTATTCAGATTAGATGTTTTATCGTGTTCCTTACGATCTAGGACCGAGAAAAGAGGTGTTTCGTGTATTGACACTACTATACTTTGCTTGAGTACATTCGATATGCCCAGGAATTCAACGCAAATTTCACAAGAATTAACTATAAATGATGTCAACTATTTTTCGCAAAATTAGGTATGCTTTATATATTGATCCTAATACAATACTTTTTCGCCGTGTGTTAATCCAAAATAAAAAAAGGAATGAGTTTGACATCACAATTGAAATTACGTCAATTGTTTTCGAAACGATAATTGTGATCAGTAGGCATTATTGTGCGAGTTGTTGTTACGGAACTCAATAAAAACTTTTAGAAAGTTAGTCTTTATGTACATTTTCAAACGTAAAACATTTGTTTAAGGACGTTTTTGCTTCACCAAATTGAAATGTCTGCTAGCATCCACAGTTGAAATTTTAACCCGTAGTTTTGCCTACAACATACCATGGCAGCTATGATTTGTTTCCTACCAATTATTTAGGCTGGAGGAGGAGGAATAATGATGGGTGAATATCTGCTTCTTGAATAAGTTAAATAAAATAGATACATAAAGGAGCGCGTAGACAGCATATTTATGAATTATTCATTTTTTTTTGTAGTGGTTGTAAGTAGTTGTAACAGAAATACAATATCCTTTACAATAAGTAATGCTACGGATGGCGGAATAGTGTACATTCTAGGTTCAGGTCCCGGATGTAACCGTTCCACGCTCTCTGGATATAACACGTATTCATTTGATTTCTCATCTTGCAATGTTATATGGGTAAGTAGCGAGGTTAGTAATGAATGTTATTATAAAAATAAGGAGATGTGTTGTTATTGCCAACAAGACAGTTATCCACCAAAGTCCAAATGAAGTGGATGTAAGCAATTATAGGCAACTGTACGACATTCAACAATGAGAAAAATCCATACTGTACATTCGGCTATAAAAGGCACAGACATGAAAATTCATAACATACAAAACAAAACAATTTACGAAAAACGAATATGACAGACATGAACCAACGACAATCACTGAACTACAGGCTGCAAAAAATAAAAAAAAATATATCATGATAAGCTATACATTCACAATTTGAACACGTTTGATAAGTGTTCAGTTTTAATTCAAAAGTGTTAAATGAATGACATCTGATTACTATTTGTTTCCACTTTTGTTATTATGTTGTGCTGGTACACCCCTTTACCATGAGCAACACTACGTGTGCAACATGTGGAGCAAGATCTGCGTACCCTTCCGGAATACATGAGATCACCCCAAGTTTTTGGTGGGATTCGTCTTGCTCAGTCATTAGTTTTCTATGCTGTGTTTTGTGTACTGTTGTTTGTCTTTTTTCTTTTTAGGTGTTGTCAGTTTATTTTCGACGTATGAGTTTGAATGTCCCTTTGATGTTTTTCGCCTCTCTTTTACCAGGCTAGGAGAGGATTGGGCATCCGCATAAATGTTTAACGAGGCCACATTCTGTATTTAGATATGCCTGTTCAAAGCACGATAGGTATTGACTGGATTTGTAAACTAGGCAAATTTGACTGGTTGATTGTTGTTTGCTTAACGTCCAGTAGCAAATATTTCATGTATATTCAGAACGATAGAACTTTGACATTCTGCATTCAGTACATTTTTCTGTGACAAGAATAGCCATATTAAGATCAGGAGATGTGGTGTGGTTGCCCAAGAGACAACTTTCCACAAGACTCCAAACGACATGGACTGTAGGTCACCGTACGGCCTTCAACAGCGAGTAAAACCCGATGCGTATGTAATGTTTTCTACTTGAAGACATCAACCTGTTTTGAAAACAAAACATCTTTTTTTATCCTCAAGGCACTATGATAACTATCATCTCTTGTTATTAAAAGAGAGACGAAAGATACCAATGCACATTCAAACTCACAAGTCGACAATAAACTGACAACGCCATGGCTTAAAAAGAAAAAAAGGCCAACAGACAAACAACAATACACAAAACACAGAAAACTAAAGACTGAGCAGCAAGAACCTGAACAAAAAGCGGTGGTGATCTCAGGAGCTCAGGAAGGGAAAGCAGATCTTGCTGCACATGTGGCACCCGTCGTGTTGCTCATGTTAGTACAAACCCAGTGATAAGTTTAATTCGGAATGTCACATTAAACGCATAATTGAAATTGTATATTTAACAGGGGAGATTGTTCAGGATTGTTATCCAGAGGAAATCTTTGTACCAGACTGGAGACGATAAAATTATACCGATTACTTGTATAGCTGATTTAAGTGACATTACTGTACAAGCCGGCTCAAATATAGTGTAGGTATAAGATAAAACAACATTAATCAACATTCATACGTCTGTCGAAAGTTAAACAAAACTCTGAGCGAAACGGAAAGGAAAAAGGAATTTAATTATTGAAAGCGCATTTTCGACTTTTAGCACCATTCAACCGTCATCGGCTAGCGGGGCGTGCGGAGTTTGGGGGTAGCGAACGATAACATTTCGATTCAAATAAAATAGAACAAACCTCGCTCCTAGACAACGAATTGTCGATAGCTTTTCATCTGCTGCGCGTTAATAATTATTAGTAACTTTTGTCAAGTCTGCATAGCACCTAGATACGATCACATTACCCTGTGACTGTTGCTCTCAACCTGTTTGGATAGCAGCAGACACAAGATTTTGTAGTCATATTTACATAGTACCTTGACCTATATGAACTCCTTTGTGTATTTCATTTATGGTAGGTCTGTGTCTGTATGAAACATTATGGCTGTGAAATATAGATAGGGAAATATATAGCTGATAAGAATAAAATGAGAATAAAATGTTAAAAGTACTTAGCTGAAATATACATATACATGTAGTAACCGTGGTTACATTATATGCTCAAAGATACAGTCTTTAAAAGTATAGTAATCTGTAAGATTTCAACAGAACTTAACATATTAATTTTTTGGAAAATCGTCCAAACGGTATATAAACATGATAAACAAGTTTGTATTTTGACCGGAATTAACTGATAAACAACAGTCGAGCTGGATCGTAGACATAATTCAATATAGAACGGACTATAAGAACTCATTTACTCCTACCAAATATTGCAGAGTCCAACTGTATGACCAAGCATTCTGCTTTCATCTCAGGTACTGAAATTCAAATGGTATTTGCAAACGCACTGTATCCGATAGAACAATTTGAAGAAAAAAATATAAGGAGGATGAACATGCATATGGGACCAACATTTTATGACATATGGCAATGAAAGGTCGTTTTTATTTTTTTTTCTTCATCTTAAGGATGTTCGCTCCTCTTGTTTTTGAATTTTTCCCAGATATTCGGAATCCTCTGGTTTTATCTATGTAGTTCCATTAAAAATTTTGCCCACAAACCCCTACTTTTCTTTTCATAATTTTAATACATATAGTTTAAAAAAACATATTTGAAAATCTTATAAAGTCCTTGTTATTTTTTCATTGTTTTTGAAAGAAAAAAAGGTGCCAGTGTTAAATGTATGAAAAAATCTAGAGAGAATCACTTCCCGCCAAATTTTCAATGGCTTATATCTCGAAAACAAGCACAAGGACCCTTCATTTTTTTCTGCTTTTTAGTTCCTTTATTCATATACTATCAATCTATAACAGTCTTTTTAAAAGCTTGTTATTTTAAAACAGAGTAGCAAACATCCTTAACCACTTTTCTGTTGTATATACATTCTATGTTGCACATTCTACAAAACAATACACATTTAACATTGTATATATGTTAGTAAATGGCATATTTTTTTTTTAAATCTTATCACAGTAAGTTAAAACTGTATTTGTTGTTATATGCATATTATTGTTTAAATACCGCGTATTAATTGACACTATAGACCTGGTCAAGATGACACTCCTCAAACCACGACCACTAAACCTGCAGCATACATGACACTTCTAAGTAACGGAAATGATGTACGAGGTAAAATGGTTCAACTTACAGATTCTATAACTCTCAGTATAGAGCTTTTTGATCAGTATAAAGGTATTGTTCAATTTTTGTTATGTCTAATATGATATATTATGTATATTTTGATTATGTTATATCATTTTGAATGTTAATGTAAAGATGTTAAATCAATGCGCGTGTAACTGGTGACAGAATAACTGTTATAAATAGGTCAAAAGACAAAGATATTAATAGTATTAAATGTGGTGATCCTACTCATATTTAAATTCTAAGAATATTGTATCAATATAAAAAAAAGCTTAGTCTATTTTTTAAGAGTATTGTATGTTCAATCCGTTTTGTTTCGGACAACAAAAGATAAATGGCAAATCCACCTCTTTGAGTGAACACAGAGGACCATCTGAGGGCTTTACCCACTCTTCACCCACTACCACATTTTACAAATTGACCTTTTCGGGGCACCTGGGATCACATCTAGTTTTTGGTGAGGTTCGTGTTAAGTTGTTAAGTATTTTAGGCTTGTTGTCTCTAATTCCCTTTTGCCATGACATTATCAGTTTTTCTTCGACTTATGAGCTTTGAATGTCCCCGTGGTATCTCCCGCCTTTTTTCATGAAAAAAAAACATCTCGGCTGAATAATTATATATACTTGTTTGTAGGTGACTTCGACATAAAAGCCAGCATATGTACCGCATCTACTATTACCATTATCGATAGAGGGTATGTTTTGCATTAAACAACAACTGTTATTTGTGTAGACCATTAATAGTATGTGGGGAATTCCAATTTTTCAATCTTATCTCTGTTTTAGAAAAGGCTTGAAGTTATTATATTTCGTGTTTAAAACTCAAATGAACGATGTGTAACCTGTAAATCATAAAATGTCTCCCTTTTTGTAGTAAGTTACTATCCAATTAAGATACAATTGTATGTACTACGGTGGTAAATAACTCCACAAACTACCCGTGAGGGTGTCTGTTGCACATGCAGGCGATAAACCATAAAATATTACCAACATGTATAATTAAAAACGAATAAGTTAATGCCAACCTTTTTTTAGTTGATAAAAGAGAGGCGAATGATACCAAAGGAATCTTCAACTCATAAGTCGAAAACAAACTGGCAATACATGACAAAAACTAAAAAAAAACGACGATTGGCAAACAGCAGTACACAAAACACAACATAGAAAACTATAAAGACTGAGCGATACGAACCCCACCAAAAACCGGGTAAGATCTAAGGTGTTCCGGAAGGGTTAGGAGATCCTGCTCCACATGTGGCTCCGTCGTGTTGCTAGTAATGTTCATTTCACAATTGTGGACCCTTAGATTGAATAATACTCCCTCTAAAAAAATAAATAACGTGTCAATGCACTTCGAAATAGTATTCATACATCCTGTTAAAGTACCCCACTTTTAATTGATAATAAAAGAACAAGAAGTTCAGCACATTGATCTTTGATTATGATATCAGTTAAGAATGATAACAAAGCAACCCATAAAAACAAACAGTATGGGGTTTTCTCATTGTTGAAGGCCGTACTGTTGCCTACAATTGCTTACATCTACTTCATTTGAACTTTGGTGGATAGTTGTCTCATTGGCAATCAAACCACATCAACTTATTTTTATATTCAGTTTCTTAAATGCAGCAGTGGGTACGATTTTAAGTATTATGTTTCCTTAGCTTATTTAAAATTATTGCATTGAAGAACATTTGTAATGGGAAAAGATGATTACACATAAAGAATGTAAGCATAGGGATGTTCAAATTACCCCTTAAAAATGAGACTTTTTAAAACCCTATTTCAAATTGCACCGAAAACCGAGTAATGATTCTATTAATAATATAGTTCTGATGGAAATAACATTACCGTATTTGCTTTATTTCATATTTTAACTAGTATGCATATTTTTAAACTGTACTTGTATATAGGTTACAAAAGCATGATTATGTGTAGTACATTTTCCATAGGACCCCACTGGTGTTTAAAAAATGTATTTCTTGAAGAATAAACAAAGGCTAGAAAAAAATGGTAGCAGTTCCTGTGACTATAGGTGTCAGCATTTTATTATAGCAAAAACAAAGTATATATGGTCATGCGGCAAAAGTTGCTCTAAAATGCAGTTGTTATAAAAGCTTTCAAATTCTGCACGAATTAAATACGAAAGGAATGGCTCCTTAGTTTATACAAAATTTATATCTTCTACACATTGTAAAATATGAATTATAATGTTTACCTATTTTTTTCAATTTTCTTTGGAGTTCAGTATTTTTGTTATGCTTTTTTATATTTACATACACAATTGTATTACAGCTGTTCAGCAGACACAGACTTGTTTCCTTCTTTCTCAAAACCAAGAGTAGGCTTCATTACAAGCACATTCAGAGCCTTCGTACCAACAGAACAAACCGGAAGTATAGTATCCGTACAATTCTCATGTACCTTAGACGTCTGTTTAAGATCCTGTATCACGGTATGAATACATTTGAACTTGAAATTTCATTTTAATGTTTAACTATTACATTTTTCGTAAATTTCCAATGATTCTAGTAATTTAATTCGTAATAGTTTTATGTATTAAAGTTTTAATATTGAATAAAACTTTTTGGGAAGTCTCAAATTGACCAATACTACTTGTATTGATTCTCATGCACTGTATACACTTTTTGGGGGAGGGGGAGCGGAGGGTGCAAAATTTAATACATATTATAGTAAAGAAACAAATTTATCTTATTGTTGTTGTTTTCATTAATACGTATAGTTTTAAGCGGTTTTATTGGCGTGTAAACAACTTGACCATGCTCACATAAAATGGTTGCCCTCTAAAATCTTTTGGTTATTTTTGTCTTTTGGTTTCTGTCATATTCACGTATTACCCACATAAACTTTCAGTTTAATTCGGTCAATGCTTTTATGTGTCCATTAAACTATATATAAAAAAACTTCATGCAAACCTATGCATCGACATTACGTGCACATATACGACTACAACAATAAATAGCAGAAATTTACTAAAGTGTCTATCGAAATACTGTTCAAACCGTTTTTACATCTGAAGACACATTTTTGAATTTGTCAATATATGTAAATAGCTTAAGTACAGGTAAATGTAAGGCTATATGTTTTTTTTTCAATCTTTCCGTTCATTTGAGGAGCTGTATAAACTTGACATTGCATGCATTGCTTCAGTTTTAAGAAGTCATGTCTCAGAAATGAACAGCAAGCCTAGTTTACGAGATATCTTTCTTTGCTTTTAATAATTAATAAGGTCACTCAACGCAACATAGAGTTATTGTATTATTACAGACACATTGCCCGAACAGACCTGGCGGTTATGGACGAAAAAGGAGAGCACATGCAAAGCACGCCAACATTACATATGACCAGCTACATGTAGGCTCAGCACTCATGATATCTAATGACGATGGTGTGAAAATGGAAGGTGAATAATAAATCAGTGTAATATTGTGTGAGATCTCGGGTCTAATAAATGCACATGTAACCAGTGTTTAGAAATTGTATTGCCTGATAATTTTCAATACCTTGTACACACGCATGACAAATTCAAATCAGATATTATGAAATCCTAGGATTACCAAAATGTATCATGTCGGAATTGAATTCAGTTTGCGTTCTCACTTGGTTCTGTAAATGCAAACATTGCAAATTTCGCATGATGAAACTTCATGCAGGCACGTGATTTTTTAAGCACTTATATATTTCCGATTAGAACACGTACGTGTTTGCGTTCACACTTTACGGAAACGCCCACATAACATGCGCCTTCAGTCATATCCTCTTGGTACACGATGTAATTGATGAAATTACTAAATTTATTTATTATATAATTATTTAAAAGTAGTTGGGATTTGCATAAACAAACGAACACTAAAAGAGGAATACGGATGTGTTGAAAACTCCCGTTCGAATTTTCTCAATTTTCATGTTAAGTTCATTAATAAAATAAATATTTAGAAAAACATACAAACACCTTCGCGTTTAATTTAAGATATTTTAAATGCCAACAATAGATATGATAGAAGTATAAATTCTCGATACTTTGGAAATAATAAATTAGCTTCTAAATCGTTTTTTTTAAACAATTTTTTTCTGATTAGAAACTGATTCAACATCCAGTATATTTTTATAGATTAATTATCTCGAAAATTGTGTATCACTGACAGAGATAATAAGCATCGGAAAAAGTTTATTGAAAATTATTCTGAAATTGGGGATTTGAAATAAAATTGAGATTGGAAATGGGGAATGTGCCAAAGAGACAACAACCCGACCAAAGAGCAGAACACAGCCCAAGGCCACCAATGGGTCTTCAACACAGCGAGAAAATTACGCACCCGAAACTTTATATTTACTATATAAAATTATCTTTTGTTAAACATCGTAAATTGAACTCAATATTAAGGTTTTTGGTATGTGTTGTTGGGGTGCTGCCTCCTTAGCATTATATTCCATATCCTTTTATGCATGCCTATACACAGGCAAATTCACGTGAATTTTAAATGAATCTCACGTGAAATTAACGAGAAAAATGTCAAGTAAGAGTCACCTCAAACAAACTTATACGTGAAACTATCGCGAAAGTTTTCACGTGAATTGAGATTCATTAGAATTTTACGTGAAATTTACTTGAGTTTCACATGCGATTCACGTGAAATTTCCATGTGTAGTATTATAAAACGTATTTCGTCTTTTATCAAATATTAACTTTTTTCATATAAATTATATACTTGTGTGTTTACTCTTTATAGGCAACGACACAGAAAAAACAATATGTATGGAGAGATCCGTCTTTATTGGGTGTTTGATATTTATGTTTTTTCTGGTTCTCCTGATAATCTACTTTGTTGTTATGACCTGTCGTTGGAGACACAAGGCTACACAGAAAAAATACCCACAATCCATTTCCGGTGAAAAATTATATTCCGAAGAGTGTAGCTCTGTCGAAGAGCTGCAATCAGACTCTTTTCTTTGGAACAGCAACAGCAGCAACCATTCCGATCAGTACAGCTTTGATGTGGAAGAGAGTTCCGAAAGTTATACTTCTACAGAATCAGTATATTCTATGCCGCAATGTCGAAAGCATGTTCAGTTTGTTTAATTGTGATTATTACAAATGATGTTTACATAGTATAATTTTGCATATTTGTAAACTATTTATAATTTATAGAAAAGTTAATTCTTCCTCTCTATACAGATGTAGTTATCTCGGGGAATTTGGAGATGTGGTTGATGCAGCAATCCTATAGTATGCTTCGAAGAAAGGCCCATTTCAAGGAAGGCTACATAGTGTAGCTCTACCTATAGCGTTAACGAAAATAAATGTGCACGAATTCTTTAAACGAATAGCTTTAAAACTTGATATGCTTTCTTGAATTCTGTAATACGCCCATATGTCGCACACGTATGTGCTGTAAAGCTGTCGTCATCTGCTTGATGTCTACAAATTCTTGAAAAATGGCCATATAAATCGTCATAAAAATTTATTTTTAATACTTGTAATTATAAATTGGCTTTTCACCCTTCATATATGATTGGAACCAATTTCTTTTGATTTGATATTTTGATAGAGAAAGTCTCATTTAGCTAGGATTCCTGACTTAGATAAAAGTTGATTATGTCATGTTATATTTAATGGAATAAAGTACTTAACATTGCTTAGTTGATGAGTATATGATAAACATATTTATTTACCTAGTATATGTCAATATATTTTGTAAAAATAAATATCTTTTATTTTGATTTGGGTTTTTCTGTATAATATCTTTGTTTATTTTTCTTCATCTGGCTAAATACTGTAAACCAACTTAATTTGGTGGATAATTTATTTTTGCGTTTAGCCCTTTCTTACCGACTTGGCGGCGACTTATTTTCTTGATTTTCTAATTGGTGTGGTGTATTTATATAGGGAAAGGTTCAACTGATGCAAATTCGCAACAATTTAGATTCGCGTTATTTTTCTACTAGTCGTGAAAATTAGTTGGTTTTTAGTAAATGGTACCTTGATTGAACCTGTAGAATCTGCCCGACTCAATTATATACAACTATTCAAGGCAGGGTTATTCAAATGGTTTTGTGTATGCAAGAGTCATATCTATGTCAAGCCTCAAATCTGGGTCCTCTCCTTACACAGTCTGTTTGTGTAACAATTGCAGCCTTGAAGACTTAAAGTCCAGCAAGTTTGACCGATAATGCTGCTTGTTACGTGGAAAGATTGTTAATTAGAGAATGAATCTAGACTACTTTGAATTTACATCCCTTTTGGCGAGCAAACTTGTCTAGAATAACTGTTTACATATGTTCAGTACAAACCAACCGTACTCAATAAATGTATTTGTTATATACAGATACATTGTTTGTACGGATAGGATATATATGTTTTTGTGGTTTTTATAAATTATATTTACTAGGTATTATATAAACTAAACTGGTACCTACATGTATATGGTTGTTATTTGATTACGTCACGTGGGGAAAGCTGAAGCAAAACTTAAGTTAACGGCATCTGACGGTGAAACACTCTGAATCTGACCGTCAGGGGTTAAACTTACTAACGCGCGTCTGGCGTAACAAATTATAAGCCTGGTACCTTTGATAACTATTTACAGACGTGTTATATTAAAATTTTGTCTTTGACAATCATAATTTTACCACAACAACTGTAACAATATTTACTCCCGGAAGTAAGCTTCGATTATCTTAATTTACCTTAATTTCCAATTTTTTTCATAATATTTACTCCTAAAAAAACAAAAGTCTAGATCTTTCACCTTCTGTTGTGATTTAATTGGAATTCTTATAGGTCAGTGATAACCTCATATCAAAGTTCAATATATGGCATTCACATTATATCAGCTCTATAGTAAAGGCGATGCATGTTTATCAAAGATCAGTCTCCCGGGAAAGATAACATCAATTATCATCAATTATCATCACATATCATCAATTATCATCACATTTCATCAATTATCATTAAATTGATGTCTGTCATTAGTACATGTTGTTATTGATAAAACTGAAATTCTTTGGCGCTTTAATATTTTAATTTTCCATAATACAGTTTTGATGAGATTAAACGTTACAAAGCATCGAAGGAAATTCGAACTCTTCAATTTTTGTTTGTATTTACTTGTACAAACAAATTCAAAATTGGCTAAAACAGAAAGTTATATGTTTACATGAGCAACTCGAAGGGTGCCACGTCTGGAGAAGGATATTCTTATCCTTCCGGAGCACCTGAGATCGCTCCCACTTTGTGGTGGGGTTTCGTGTTGCACAGTCTTCAGTTTTTTATGTTGTGTTTTGTTTACTGTTGTTTGTCTGTTGGTCGTTTTCTTTTTAAGCCATGGCGTTGTCAGTTTATTTTCGCCATATGCGTTTGAATGTCCCTTTGGTATCTTTCCCCTCTTTTTTTACTTGTAGAAGTAAATAAACTAAAGCATGAGAGTATTATATTGTCAATATAATACTTCCATGGTTAAAGTAAACATTATCTACAATATAACCACGAGTGGGACCCGTGACTGGCTGACGGAATTAACTTTTGTTTTCTTAGCTATAAATTATGTACCCATCCAAGAGATAAAAAATAATAAAAAATAGACTATAATAGATCTTATTCCAACAGAAAATTATACGTATTTTTTAATATCAATCTCAACAAGTATTTTTTTAATAAAAATATCAATCCAGTAAAAAATAGACAAAGGTACTCGTAATTGAAATAATGTTATTATGACTTTGTTATTTTTAAGGAATTGAATGCGTCAAGATACGTATAATATAATTAAGTGTCAAATAGCTCATGCATATTAAGATAATTAAGAGCTTGGCCTGTTACACGGACATCAGCCCTTTAGCTGTCTTTTGGTTACATTTTTGTACTAGTATTTGTTGTTGTTTGGTTGTTGTGTTATCAACGTATTTCCTACATATCATTGATCGTGCAAGTATGTATTTGTATGTTTTTTTGTTTTTTTTTACTTTTTTCTTTCCAAAAATCATAGATCAGAAACACAGAAATTTTAAAGGTTGAAATCATACATGCTCTCTATGTCTTGTTTTAAGAAATATCATTAATGGAACCAAGACAAAATAGAATTTAACTTGTTTTCATTGAAATGGCACAAAACCAGAGTACAGACTTATACGCATGCAGTAGACTGAAATTTAGACATTTTAACCCCCACAAAATACTCATTATTGTAACTTTTATAGGTTATTGTATACTCCTTTCAATTGCAGTTCATACAAAACGGATCAACAGTATATGAGGTTAGAACAAAAAAAAACATCCGAAACAGTACAATTTTCATGCAAATTAAAACCTCAAAAGATAGACAGAAAACCCCCATAACTCGGACACGAACTGGCATTGCCATTGCAAAAAAAAAAAAAAACACAAAAAAAAATAAAACAAAACCACCAACAGACAAACAGCAGTCTACAACACACAACATAGACGTATTTCTGTGAAAGGTATAATGTTTGCCGATTTAAATTGAATTTAATGAAACCAACTAGTGACAATATTAGAAGAGCTGCTCCTGTTTGTCTATTTTTAGTATAAAAAATACCATAGCTACATATACACGAAGACCACCAACTGCAAGTTATTGGTCATCCTGTTGACAAATACACTGAATTCTTTTAAGGGTGTTTTTTTAGTTTTAAAAGACATATGTGCTAGAAAGGGAAAAAAGGGGGTGTGTGCACCTGAAACTGGTTTATCAATAATCCCACCACATTTTGTGTTTGTACCAGTTCAGTCTTTCTGGACCACGTGTTGTTTGTTGTTGTATGTGATTGTCATTGTGTTTTTGTTTTTTTCATGAGGAGTTGTGTCTTGGTGCTTAATGTGGTCTGTTGTACGAGGGTCTGGATGGGGGTTCCATTTTTTCTGTATTCTTTAATCTTTTAGGTATTTTTTCTCTATTCTTTATATTTTGTGGCCATTATTCTCTATTCTTCTTATTTTAGCACCCTAGTATTCTCTATTCTTTATTTATTTGCCCTCTTTTTTCTCTCTTCCATATTTTTTTTTACCCTTTTTCGGCACTGTTTACCTATTATTCTCTATTCTGTAAACCCCATCCTCACCCTCTTGTATTGTTCGGTATTTTTTGTGATTCCTATTACCAATTTTTAGTATGGTGTTTATAAAAAGCACGGATAACTGTTGAATTTTGGCAGAAAGCAACGATGAACAAGAGAAAAGGTAAAATGTAATGCTCCGTCTAGTCGCCATGAAAAAAAAAGAAAATTGTGTAACAAACCAGTAATTTTCACTTCAATTTATTTTAGTGTGAAATGAATAATATGAGTAGTACAATTTTCAGGGTTAAGCTACGTGGGAAATGAATATTTTGAACAATTTTCTACCAATACTTAAAAAACATTCAAATGAACCATCACATTCCAAACAACCCCCAACATTTATTTATAAATAATTTCTATTTCATTACCTGTATATAACCTATAGACAGTTTTGTCAGTTTGTCACTTTTTACATTTTCCTGTTCTATATGTTCCCGTTTAACACTACAGGTATGCGCTTTCATTTTATTCATTTTATGCTATTTTAATCCCACTTGTAAAGACATTAATTATAATTGTGACAAACATTCCTACGGGGGCCATCTTAATCTCCACCCTTAAGTAATATGGGTTTAGAGAGGGGAGGCGTCCTGTTTTTATTTCGGATTAAGATTGAAGGAGGGTAACGCTTGCATTTGAATTTTGATTAAAATAAGATAGAATTTAGAAATGGAATGGAAAGACGTGTCTCATTTTAAATTTGTTTATAAAAAAAATGTCGTTTTTCAGTGGAATAGTTAATGCTTCTTCTGGTGCAGTTCAAAGAAAGAAAATGAAGAAAAAAGGAAAAAGTGAAAATATTAGCCCATTACATGCGCTCTTGCCTGGCGCTAAAATCACCAATGGAGGCGGTAAGATTTCCGTGAATGTTGGAATTTCTGCAGAAACACTTATATTTAATATCGGCGGAGTGAAATTTGAGACATATCGATCAACTCTGTATAAACAACCCAGAAGTCCACTAGCTAAACATGAATTTTTGTTGAAGCATTATAGGCCGGAATTCAAAGATTATTTCTTTGACAGGGATCCGGATACATTTAAGGTAACATATCATATAATAAAATTTCCTCTCTCTCTCTCTCTTTCTCTCGGATCGCTTTGATAAACTTTTTCAATCAGTCATATTTGCGTTTTCAAGGGGAATTTAAACAGATTGTCAGTATTTCTACGGGAACGTACCGTGCATGTGCTCTCGTACGATTGTTTACTTATTTGTATAAGGATGACTTCATAAAAGGCTGTGTCAAGAGTACTAGAGTGAAAATAGGTTTTTATTTGCGTGCCGCTCTATAGATGATATTTCATGGAATAAAAAGAAATGGTGACTATTCTGATCGCAATAATCCATTAGTATGAAAATGAAGGATACATCTAGATGTGTGTCATGTCTTGGCTGTTTGATGTCAATGACATTTCGAACATCTAGCTGGCTGACTTTAAAAAAAAGAAATCAACATATTGTATCTCACTCACACAAAGCTTTGATTACTTTAACGGGTTTAGCTTTACTTTTGTTCCTTTTTTCGGTTTTATCGGCTCCTCAATTTTTGTACTAGGTTTTGAATTTTTAAAATTTTGGCCTCGTGCGTCACTGAAGAGACATCTAGTACAGTAAAAATCAGTACCGTTTAAGTTGTCGAATATAACAATAAGAAGATGTAGTATAATTGCCAATGAGACATCTCAGACCAGATGATGCAGAGGTTAGAAACTATAAGTCACCATATGGCCTTCAACAGTTAGCAAAAAAAAAAAAAACTGCATATATGTAGTAAGCTATAAAATGTTAAAGTTCATAGGAATGTATTTGTACGCGTGGTGTTAAATTTTATAGCTCAACATACGTGTGGTTAGTTTTGGATCCAATGTTTGTTTTCCGGGTTTGATCGACCGTTGGACTATCTTCATGTTGTATTTCGAAGTTATTTTACAAATGTAAAAAAGCAACTGAAAAAAAAATTGCAAACAAATACCCCAAAAGAAATATTACACTATATATATTCAGTATGATATGATCTTTATTTATTGACAGTGACAATGCGTTTTTGGAGGTCAACTGGTCAATTACCTAATAACAGTTTATTTAGGAGAAAACACATTATCTACTGTTACTTTTTATAACCTTTATATGACATAGTCCATTAGCTGTAGACAAGGGCATTTGAATATTTATATAATATATAAATAAGGAGATGTGGTATATGATTGCTAATGAAACAACTATCAACCAGAGTTCAAATGACGTCGATATCAGCAATTAAAGATCACGTACGACCTCAACAATGAAAATGCTATAAAGATTGAAAAATGTGAAACAATTCAAACGATAAAACTAACGGCCCAATGTATTACAACACAATTTACGAAAAAAAAGTTATGACAGAAATGATGGAACCATTGAATTAAAGGCTTGTGTTGACCATAAAATTTGTCACTACACTTCTAAAAGAATTATGGCAACAGATCTACAGATGTTTTACCTGTTAGCTTATAAAAGAACTTAAAATTATCCATGTTTTGCTGCATATCATTTTTATCAAATCTTGCACAGGGTTCTTGAAAATCACAGATTGATTAATTCCCAAATAAGCATCATTTTTTAAAGCAAGTGCTATAGGGGCATACTTACAAAAAAAATCCTGTTCTGACCTTTTTTCATGGGTAATGAAATATAACCTTGAATGATCAAAATTTACAAATAAAAAAATTTTATGTTGAAAATTGTACCCCTGTGACCTAATTTCGGAACAAAAGATGAAAAAAAAAATTGTTCCATAAATTTTCAATTATTACTCCAGTGTTGTGACGACATCCCATGCAAAAGAAATATATCTTTCATACTTAAAAAAAACCTAATGCAATATCTCAAGACACAATACTACAGTACTAGTCATTGGCGAGTATGTACAAATGTACTTCCAATTATATGCTAAATACTTGCTGTTACTTGGTCCAATATATGACACAAAGTATTGTCCCAAAATGAATTATGGTTAATACTTACAGGTTGTGTTGAACTATTTACGTACCGGTGAACTCCATTTACCAACGTATATATGTGGTCCAGCTATTAAAACGGAGCTTGCATTCTGGGGAATACCGGATGGACTTATAGAAAGATGCTGCAGTGTGAATTACAATTCGTACAACAAAACTCTTGAGGCACTAAACCAACTTGAACATGATCGAAAAGGAAGTTTTATTTTATCACAAGAAGACAGCAATTCTCAAAATATTACAAAGATAGATAGATTCCGGACGAAAGTGTCACTTGTGCTAAACCAACCAGATTCATCCCTTATGGCAAAGGTAAGATAGCTGATCTGTCGACTACATTTTTACTGACTATAGTATACGAAAACAGTTTTGAATTCGCTGCGTTGAACATTTGACAATAAAAAAACATACGACTTAGATTTGACGGAATACATATTCCTGGTATCGACTCCTTCACATAAACCTCTTACCTCCTTTTAGTAGTACTAGAACACACCCGCGAAATCGCGGGTATTTAGAGCTTGGTTGAAAGTATGTAAACTGTTATAGGGTGAGTGAATTTTTGTAAAAGATTTTATGTCTGGAGAAATTCAGAAAAGGTATCAAACTGAGTCATAGGCACTTGGAGACAGGACAATTATTTTAAGCCCTCTCCCTTTTTTCCAAAGTCCGTTATTTTTATTTTGCTCTCTGTTAAATTGCATGATTTTCGCGTTTCTGTATGCTATGAACATAGATCTACATATAATATAAATAAAGTGTATTTGCTATTAACTATCAATTCCATTCACGGTGATCACTGCTATATTATATAGAGAGTCTCTATATATTATAGGATTATAATCATAGCATGCATGCAGAATAACGCGAAAATAATTGTCCTGTCCCCGAGTAATTATGAAAACTATGTTTAAAGAGGGGAGTAAAGGGAGGTATCTCCACGAAAGAACGCGAAACAAAATTGCCATTTCACGATGAGCGAACAATTAAAAAATTCTTGCACGTTGATCTTTTTATCGATTTCAAGAAACACGGTGAATAACGAACCTATTTCACGGCTGCACGTAAAACAAGAAATGATTGTAACAGGATGCTGTTACGAAGTCTCCCAAACGAAGCTCCCATAATTCGTAATTCCCAGGGTCGCCTGACATTGGGCAAAGTCCAGTGAACATTGGTTTGGTCCAGTAAAGTTATATGCATTAGTGATGCCTGGGGACTAACCCTGTATATCATTCAAATCATCTTGGCATGACAAACCAGAATATATATGGTTTAGGGGTGGGGATCTCGACCATTTACAAGATACTAGAACATTGAGGGTGGGGGAAACCCCTGGGGACTGACCCTGTACGTCATTCAAATTTTCGAGACATGACGAACAGGAATATATATGGTTTAGGGGTGGGGATCTCGACCATTTACAAGATATTAGAACTTTCTCAAATGGCAGGGGGTCGAGATGACCCCTGGGGACTAACCCTGTATATCATTCAAACCATCTTCACATGACAAACCAGAATATATATGGTTTAGGGGTGGGGGTGACCCCTGGGGACTAACCTTGTATTTCATTTGATGTGCTTTATCATGACAAACCAGAATATATATGGTTAAGGGGTGGGGATCTCGACCATTTACAAGATATTAGAACTTTCTCAAATGGAAGGGGGTCGGAATGACCCCTGGGGACTAACCCTGTATATCATTCAAACCATATTAGCATGACAAACCAGAATATATATGGTTAAGGGGTGGGGATCTTGACCACTTACAAGATATTATAATTTTCTTAAATGGCATGGGGTGGGGGTGACCCCTGGGGACTAACCCTGTATTTCATTTAATGGGCTTTATCATGACAAACCAGAATATATATGGTTTGGAGGTGGTGATCTCGACCATTTACAAGATATTAGAACTTTCTAAAATGACAGGGGGTCGGGATGACCCCTGGTGACTAATCCTGTATATCAATCAAACCATCTTAGCATGACAAACCAGAATATATATGGTTTAGGGGTGGGGATCTTGACCACTTACAAGATATTGGAACTTTCTTAAATGGCATGGAATGGGGGTGACCCCTGGGGACTAACCCTGTATTTCATTTGATTTGCTTTATCATGACAAACCAGAAAATATATGGTTTAGAGGTGGGGATCTCGACCATTTACAAGATATTAGAACTTTTTCAAATGGCAGGGGGTCGGGATGACCCCTGGGGACTAACCCTGTATATCATTCAAACCATCTTAGCATGACACACCAGCATATGTATGGTTTAAGGGTGGGGATCTCAACCATTTACAAGATATTAGAACTTTCTCAAATGGCAGGGGTCGGGATGACCCCTGGGGACTAACCCTGTATATCATTCAAACCATCTTAGCATGACAAACCAGAATATATATGGTTTAGGGATGGGGATCTTGACCACTTACAAGGTATTAGAACTTTCTTAAATGGCAGGGGGTGGGGGTGACCCCTGGGGACTAACCCTGTATTTCATTTAATGGGTTTTATCATTTAGAACATTTTCAATTAAAAAGATTGTGTCTATCACAAATGGTTTTCAATTTATAATCATTTGAAAATTTTTAAAAATAAAATCCCATAGGGTTCTATAGTAAAACCCTCTTTTCTTTTTGCCCCTCAAAGTACCCCTTTATAAACCCCATTGCACAAACAAAAACCCTGATTGCACCACTAGACATGTTAGTCTAACATATTGTGAACCCCTAAGTTAATCTGACAAGCGGTTTTGGAGAACGGGTGCGGACAAGTTCAAATTTAAAAGCGGCGGAAGAGGAAGAAGAAGAATAATAATAAGAAGAAGAACTGAGCAAAAACAATAAGTCTTCCCAAACTTCGTTTTTAATAACCCTTTACCCCTCTTTTAAAGTTTAAAATCGGAAGTCTTGGGTATGACTTAAAAGTGGGTCTGATGACGGAAACAATATCCGGACACCTTTTTTTTCGTGTTTCTCCCAAAATAACCCAAACAGAATAATCATAAGAATGGATGACAAATGCGACTATGCATGTTAGCTATAGGACACAGAGGCATAATGATTAATTTATTGGGGAAGGAAGAGAAGCGACACACAAAATGAGGTATTATCGTTTAATAGTATAGATACATACATTTTTTTAAAAAGGACACTGTCTGCCTTTAGCGTGGGAAGTTTTGGTATATGATCTATGAAAGAGTAACATAACGTAAAACTTTTGCAAGCTGCATTTGGGAATTACCTCCCCCTTTTCCCCGTGTATTTCAAAAGAGATATGCTTGTAGAACTGTGCAAGTGCAAAGTAGATCGATCTCTGAGACTCAAATCGAGACTCCCATATCAGCCTGGGTATCATATCGAGACTCCCATATCAGCCCGGGTATCATATTGAGACTCCCATGCAGCCCGGGTATCATATCGAGACTCCCATGTCAGCCTTGGTATCATATCTAGACTCCCATGTCAGCCCGGGTATCATATCGAGACTCCAATGTAAGCCCGGGTATCATATCGAGGCTCCCATGTCATTCCGGGTATCATATCGAGGCTTCCATGTCAGCCAAAAAGGCGCAAACCAAGTGATGATACCAAGGGCAATATGGGAAAAGTCACGTCACATGTATTCTGTATGTATTTCATAGTTATCACAAAAAAGGGGGGGATTTAAATAGTCTCTGGCAAGATACATTCCTGTTCATTTCCTCCGTGAAATATTTGTCTTATTACAAAGCTACCCAACAGTTAAATACTACGTAGAGTTCTTGAATATCATAATGTCATTGTCCGATTTTCTTTTAAAGTCGTTGTACTATATATGTTCAACATATTTCGCTGTGTAATTTTGAGTTTTCCTAACAAATAAGTGATAATACATAAAGTTTGGTCAATTTGACATTTAAATTAAGTAGGCAGTTTCATTTCTATGACCATAAAGAGAATATAATCCGATTGCTCATTCAAATAAATTAAATTTAAGGTGTAATACTTTTCATCTTCAACGACAGGTAAATAATTTGAATTAATCCGATTTAAATTGTGAGAAAATGGCCTTAACAGTTACCCGGATGTTATCATTTAATACGTAAATGTTTGATATGAGATAGGAATTAAGTTAGATACCACGCTTGTTTGTATACAAAATGAAAAAATAATATAAAAGCACCAAAATGTCAAACTTGAAAGTAAAGGCTTTTATGAAAATTATTGATCTTGTTACTTTAATTCGATGCAGTTTTCTTTAATAACAAAATAGCAACACCGCTTAATCTACATGTTAAGTTTACCCTATAGTTATAACTTATCTGCCATAAATATTTGGTTACATTGTTGTAGTTTTATATGATTTCATATTTTTCGGTATGTAACATGACCCAAATTACTTTTACACATGTCTCTTCAATGAAATGTTATAAAGCATGAATGGTCTGATGGTTCTCGCGTCGAGTGCGGGAGGTCCTGGGTTATATCACCAGACGGGTCATACCAATTTTGTAAATCTAGATATATCGTCAAATTTCCCCAATCCGAACACGAAACGAGGATATCTAAAATTCCTTTCTTTCTGAATTGAATTATTTCGTTCTACCCCCTAAAATACCTAGCCCCTTTTACCTAAAATAAACCCCATGTTCATAATTTATTTCTGATGTAAAGTTTAAATATTGTATTATAAATAAGGTATCTAAAACACAGTCATTAATACTGATTCTCAAATTTCCCCGTGTTCGCCTAAAAGACTGCCTTATATACATGATATACTTATCCAAAATTTTCTCCGTCCTTCTCTAAAGCTAAAGTTGTGTCTTATATGTGACCTGTCATGATATTTTGGGGCTTATGAAGGTATAAAGTCACCTTTTTCGCTCATGCTCTTTTCATTGGTGCATTTTACATCACATTTTTCTAATGAATAGTTATAAAATATTTTATTTTATCCAATTCTTTGAAAATGCTTTCTAGTCATTACAGGACCTACATGTTCATGTACCTTTTGCATGCATTGTTAATTTCTTCTCGTCCTGAACATGCATAAAATATTTGACACTGGACGTTAAGCAACCAACAATCAATCAATCAATACTAGTAAAAAGGGTAACAAAACTTGCTTTAAGGATGTACTTAGGTCAGGTTTAGGATGTTTTGTCCTTGGGTGTTCCTGCGACATAGGGTGAAATATTTTGCCCCATAACACCCACTTTTCTTTTCTTGTGAGACTTCAATAGCTCATAAATAGTCATTTACCAACATTTAAGCAGTATCTAGTTTTATTTTCTAACGCTTTGAGACCCAATTAATGCCAATGCTAAATATAAGTTAAAAGTCCGAGTCAGCCTTTTCCTCCCATTTTTTAAAAATCAAATATCTCAAAAATGAGTTCCATAACATATGAATATTTTTAGTTTATTTTGTTTCTGAGCTAATGCTCTTCTGACTTATAGTATCAATTTTAAATTCCAGATTTTTTTAATTTCACCTAGTTAAGTACATCCTTAAGCCAAATTAAGCTAGGAAGGAAAACACTAATTTATTAAATGTTCATGTGAAAGGGACAAATCATTACAAATTTATAGTATAAGCAGGTTAAACATTTTAAATGTCACCAAAGAACATTTTTAAAAAGAATTATACCACAATATTATGTTGTAAAATTAGATAATTCCATTCAGTTAGACCTATAAAAGTTAATATTCTTTAAAACTTAACGTACCTCTGCTAAGTTTTAACAGCTAAACATAGGAAAATCTCCCATTGTGCAACGCTGTTGTTTACATAAATGTGTAAAGTATTTTAGTTTTCATACGAATGTAATTTTCTATAAAGGATTAGTCCGTTTATTATAAGAAAAATTGAATATAAATTTTTAAAGCGCAATAGACGTAAAAATATGTGATATATTATTAGGATTCGAAATCCTCAAAATATCTGTGAAATTGATGTCTTTTTTTCACCCTGCATAAATTGACAAACACGTTTTCAATGTGTTTAAAATTCAAAATTCTCTGCTCTATGGAAAACCTCATCATATACACCCATCATTAATATAATAAATGCTCCGTATTGAATACATATTTGATGTCATTTTGTAAACTAATTATTAAACTGTTACGCGTGGTAGAGACATGCATCATTAAACTACCAATTTGAAAGTTAAATGAAAAATTAATTAAAAACTACAGGTTTCATATTCATATCACAGTCACGTGTTCTTAATCTGATATGCATGTAATACTTGTCTTCAACCAATCATATATCATGGTATTGATGAACAAAACCAAAAAAAAAATTGAAAATCCTCGTGCTATGGATACATTTTGTGTCATTTACATTAATTTTTTTCTAAGTTGTGATTTCTTTTGCTGAGTTAAATAAGACAGTGTAAAATAATGGATATTTTAACAGTCCTTACTCGCAACACTGTATCAGGTCGTGGAATAAAAATAGTAATGCTATACATGTATATTGTAAAGTGATTTTCATAATGATATGCGGATGCATGCTGTTTATTCTTTGTGTTTAAACCTGTCAAGATATTACATACCAGGCTTAAAATTGTGTACGCATGACGCGCGTTTTACCTTCAAAAGACTCATCAGTGACGCTAGAATCTCAAAAGACAAAACGCAAAATAAAGTACGAATTTGAGGTGCATTGAGCACCCAAAGTTTATCGACTGTATAACTAGCTTGTTAACACTGATGTTGTAAGTTCTAACACCGCACGTGGCAAGATCTTCCACTCCAATCTTAATTGACTAGGAATGTCAGTTTTCCTGTTCTCTGTAGGAGCTGCGGCTTCCTCCACCAATAAAAAAAAATGACAGCCACGATATAGCCAGTGGTGCTTAAAGTGGCGTTAAACACCAACAATTAATCAATGCCAAGATACCAACATCACATAGACAGTTGTAGACACCTTCAGTTTGTATAAACTATTTTACCGTATTTAAGAGACATGTGTTTTTCCTGTACAGATCTTCATTTAATATTTTATTTTATGTAAAAGACGCTGTCCACAAAGACGGGAACCTTGCAAATGGCATATTATTCCATGGCAATATTTGCTAATAACATTTTATAATTCACATTTCTTTAAACCTGGGACGATAAAGAGCTCAACATATTGTAAACCTGTCTATTTTGAAGGCTATAAATTAACCTCCAGAGGTCTATTGGTAATTAGTCTTTTTGGTAGAGTCTTTCAAGACTACATAATCATGTATTGTCTCGTTGAAATGACAATTACAGTTTACTTAATTAAGAATAAATATTCTGTATTATTTTATGAAATGAATTCTACACCGGCTCCTTAAATATAATCAACAGTAACGGCAAAGTAACATCTTTTTATTTGGTTTTGCTTCATCTTTTAAGTCACAGTGAGGCCTTCTATACAGAGCAGACGTTCACAATTTGTAAATATTCTTTCTTTTGTAGGTTTACGGTGTGATATCATTACTGGTTGTTGCACTATCAATAATATCCTTTCTTGCCGAATCACACCCTGCATTCCGCATTACAGATTACTACACTGAAGTCACGCGTGTGTTTAACGAAACATTGAATTCAACAATCGACGTAGTGACAGAAAAATCAGAAGAAGTTCCACACCCGGTGCTACTAAGGATGGACTTAGCGTGTATGATATTTTTTACTATTGAATACTTAATAAGAGTTCTTACAGCACGAAAGCGATTACGGTATATGCGTTCAGTAATGGGCGTCATCGATCTGGTTGCATTGTTGCCAGACTATGTTCAGCTACTAATATTGGCCTTTGATCCTGCTGTTGCGGGAACGGACACAGCCAAGATTATTGCCATTTTGAAAGTTACACGAGTACTCCGGATTTTCCGTCTGGTCCGGCATATTCCCGGACTTTGGATTTTAATTTATACTTTAAAAGCAAGTCTGAAAGAGCTGTTGTTGATGACTGCGTTTTTAATGGTGGGAATGCTGTTATTTTCATCTCTAATCTATTTTGCTGACGACAGAGCTACATTCACAAGCATCCCACATAGTTTCTGGTGGGCTCTTATCACTATGACAACTGTCGGTTATGGCGACATGTATCCCGTGACCGCATGGGGGTATGTGATTGGTTCACTTACTGCCCTATCTGGTCTACTAATGATTGGATTCTCAGTACCTATTCTTGTCAACAACTTCTTGATGTATTATAAATCTGTTGAGATTGCTTTAGAAGAAGAGAGACTGACACGTGCTAAGCTTTGCCAGGAATCATCGCACAGTACTGATAACAATGCCAAACTCGAATTATCAACCAATGAAAACAATAACAAAGGTGAAAATATATTTACTTTGGAAATGAGTGAGAAACTGTGAAATATTTATACGACTACAACGCAATATAGGTTATAACGATAAATATACATTATTGATAATTAAATTTTTTAAACTTTAAATGCGAGGTCAATCTGATAGGTCGGGAAATTACACGAGGGAAATTTAACCACTATGTGTGTGTTTTTTTTTTTTGTTTTTTGTTTTTTTTAATGATTCAAACTGGTCAGAACTGTTTTAAATGCGTAGAGGAGGGTCTGAATGAGTTTTACAGAATAGAGAATAATGGGGCGCTGAAATATAAAGAATAGAGAATAAAGGCCATAAAAAATACAGAAAAGAGAATGATGGGGCGCTGAAATATAAAGAATAGAGAATAAAGGTCAAAATAGATACAGAATAGAGAATAATGGGGCGCTGAAACATAAAGAATAGAAAATAAAGGCCAAAATATATTTTTTTTAGAATAGAGAAAAATGGCATAACAAATAAAGAGTAAATAGATGAAGGATCCAGACCCTCATTGAGAATTATAGAAAAATATTGTAAACAGTTCTTATTCATCCATTACAACATTGGCATACTAAATTCTTGTCATACAAATGTTACAGTTGACATTTACAAAGTAAAAAAACAAAGGAAATAAATAAATATATCTACATTGGTAAATATTGTACCTAAATGGATTACTAATGTAGGGACATTGATCCATTCGTAGTTAGTTTAGGTACACTATTGGTTCATTCGGTATATAATTTGTCATTTCTATAGTTGAAGGTCAGTTTCAATAAGTACAATAGCCTATTTAATTGTAATTATGTGTGCAGACTATGGCATGTTATTGGTTGCAAAAATTTGATATTTTTCATTTAAATGCAATATTTTTTATTTAATTGATATATTTCTTCATTTAAATGCAATATTTTTTTAATTGAATGGTATATTTTTTCATTTAAATGGTATATTTTTTTCATTTAAATGCAATATTTTTTTATTCAAATGGTAAAATTTGACATTCAAATGCAATATTTTTTATTCAATTGGTATAACTTGTCATTTTAATGCAATATTTTTTATTCAATTAGTATAGTAGTTTTTTATTTATATGCAATAATTGCATTATGGGAAATTCTTTGACGTCATAAGGTCACATTTGCAACAACGTTTGTGATTGGTCGGTAATTGTTTGGATTTCCCCCCTTTCTTTCTAAACATAAGTGACCAAGAATTGAAAAACGCGTCAGAATATCGCCCCTCAAATTAAATCTGGCGTTCGTGCGAGTCCTGCACTGGCTGTTAAAATCTTCTGGTCCTTACTATTATTTCTATTGCAAAATTTCGATGGTCAAAACGTTCGGACCACAACTTTTCAAAAACTTTCATTGTATATGCAACTATATGCAAGGATATCGTTTTTTTTAAATAGATTAGACGGCACTGTTGGTTTTCCCGTTTGAATGGTTTAACACTAGTCATTGGGGGGGGGGGGGGGGGGGGTGCACTTTATAGCTTGCTGTATGATGTGAGCCAAGGCTCCGTGTTGAAAACCGTACTTAGACCTATAATGGTTTACAAATTATGACTTGGATGGAGAGTTGTCTCATTGGCACTCATACCACATCTTCTTATATCTATATACAACGTAAACCAGACGTTTCTCAGACTGTTTTCTATTTTAATAAATCCTTTGCCGCGCGTTGTGCACTGATTGATACTTCAATCTGGGAGAACAAGATTTATTTCAGTACTAGTTGTTATTAGCTTTGAGCAAACTTCCACTGAGTAATTGAAAATACTCTAATGTCGGTGCTTTGTGTCTATTGTCTTAATGTTAGTTTTTGTGTGTGTGTCTTGTACCGATCTTTTGACTAATTGCAACTGATTAGTGCAGGTTGTTCTTTTATTGTACTGTTACACCACTGTCCCAGCTTCGGGATGGGTTGAGTGCTCACAAACATGTTGTTGTACAGACCTTCTAAAATTCAAATTGACCACACGCACGATACACGCACGCACGATACACGCACGGTGAATGCACGATACACGCACGGTGAATGCACGATACACGATACACGCAAGATGAGCGATGAACGTTACACGGAGGATTAACGAAAAATGAATGATGAATGATGAACGCACGATACACGCACGATGCACGATGAATGATAAACACACGATACACGCACGATACACGCACGGTGAATGATTCATTGACGAATGAACGATAAGCGCTTAATACACGGTTCTCAGAGCTATTTTATTTGGAATTGCATTTAAAATTGATGTATGATAATGAAAATCAATAAGGGTATACAAATTTTAGATATCTCGCTTTCTGTGTTGATTGGTCGACAGTTTTACTCCATGTATTAAATAAATTAATTGTAGTATAGTATTTCCAATATCAATGAGTGTTGTCAAATTATAAAACTCATCGATTTTATAATTCTACTTAATATAAATAATTTATAAATTGCTACGTTTTAAAGAGTGGCGATTCCAGCCATTTTTAAAAAGAGGGTTCTCAACCCAGGATAAAAGGGGTGGTTTTAACCATATGTCCCCATTCAAATGCATTGACCCCCCCCCCCTTCTTTTTATCTGCCTAAATTTGTAACCTTAACTTATTAATTATCATATGTTTACGTTCCGAAATTTAGGAAATATTTGTATGGTTCGAAGTTTAGTATGATGTCCATTATCACTGAACTAAAATTCATTTTTGTTTAGGGACCAGCTGAAAAACGCCTTCGGTGCGGGATTTTCTACCCATTGGTGGCCTTCGACTGTTTTCTGCCTGTACGTCTAAACACTGCTAAGGACTTATAATATGCCACTAAGGACTAGAAAGGACGTGTTACTTGTACTCTGTTTTAATACTATGGTAGAGATAGATAGATTTTTATTACATAAATTCCAATTTTTAAAGAAAAAGAATCACCATTAAATGAGTAGTTGAACAATATTTGGAACGTGCCGGTTTTTCCTTGATATTGCCGAAAATCAGTGATCTGACTGACACGAGAGAACTTACATAACAACTGATTAAACAATCATAATCTCTTTTTTTTTTTACTTAAGTTACAATGTTCCTTATATTATCAGAATCGTATGAGTTAATTCAGAGCAAAATATATAATTTGTCAGAAAAATCTGATTCGTACAAATTAATTAGAAATAGCTAAGAAAATGAAATTTACCAAATAATGAGAAAATTTAAACATTTGTAATACCAAATACTTCATAATATACTTCTGAAACGACTTTTCGTCCTGAATATGCATGAAATTTTTGCCACTGGACGTTTAAACAACCACTGAATAATCAATCAATCAAATCTTGCCCTCAGTAAAAATGAATTAAACAATATAAGCCACAATTGTATCCATCACTTGGTGTCTGTTGTTTGTTTGTACAGTAAACATATTGAATCTTTTTATATTCCTTATACAATTTCAAGTATGTAATAAAATTCATACACATTTTCAAACATCCTGGCACTTCAAATTTCTAGGAGGTGAGATTCTCGGGGTTTTACCTGAAACTCTTTGGGAAATGCAATTTTTAATTCCAATTCCAATTCCAAACTGTAAAAGATATCCCAAGGTTTTTTAAAATGCATTTCTAATTTGATAAGGAGATTTGAAAAAAAAACGATCTCAATGGTAGTTGAAATTATTCAGTGCAATCATTTTGTGTCCGCCGTTGTCTTTCATACATATCAATTGGTGTATCCACTGTTTGCTGTTCGTTATCTGTTGTTTATGGCAGTCAGGCCTCGCGATCGGTCTCCAAATTTAAGCCCCCACTTAGGTAAATTAATGATAATTTATAGGGGGGAGGGGGCTTTTTTCTCGGGGCAAACATTATTTTCCTTCCTTAAAAACACCTTAACAATTTTCTATATTTTTCATTTAATCATAAACCGATGAATATTAAATGATTTTCAAAAAATTAAAAAAATATTTTTATTCTAATATATCTAAATATCTGGGTTATTTTCTTATCCAAATAATTATTTTTTTCATTTTTTTAAGGAAAAAGTGTTATCAGTTATGGCCCCCTCATTTTAGACATGACATTTTGCTTGATACTGTATGAAGATTATTCGTTGCAACTTTTAGGAAGAAATTACCGACTTTTTTTTAACTAGATAAATATACAACAAAAATACCGTTTTTTCTTCTTGTATCAATTTCTTTTCACAAAAATTGAATATTAACAAAGAATTGTTACACAAATGTAGAGCCCAATTTTATAACGAAGATATTCCTTATCTCTTTACCGAAATCTGCATATCTTTATCTTTTGAAACAAAAAAGTTAAGGATGTCTGTTCAAAGGACAAAAATGTCCAAGAAACCGAAATGTTATAAGTAAATGTCGAATAATTCAAACCCATCTGTCTTTTAAATTTAGCACATGAAGATATAATTTTTATTAGATATACAAATTGATTTTGTAAAAATTAGCTTGTATATATGTGAACTTTTGTAAAAAAAAATCACTGTGGTTCTAAAACTGTATCACATGCCCATAATTGTCCTAAAGCTAAATGTCATCGTCAGATTATGAGGGTCTAAATAGGGATTCATTATTTCTGTATTCTATCATTTTAGGCAATTTTTTCCAATCGTTATACCTTTTGTCGATCATTCTTTATTCCATATATTCTAGTACCTCATCATTTTCTTTTCTATATATTTGTCTGGTTATTTTTTGTATTCTTTATTTTTTGGTCAATAATTTTCTATTCTATAAACCCCCATCCACACCCTCATGTATAATGGAAGACGATAAACATTTTAGTGTACATACCACCCGTTGTCACTTTCACCTGACATACAAACCACAAATTGTAATTTTTACCTGGACACGGGACTTATATAATTACGTAATAATAACGGATATAGTAAATTCAGTAGAATATAACCTGTATCAACGCACTGGCTTGTTAAATGAATATTGATCTGACAACTGTTTATCATATTTTTAGTTATTTTAAAATTGAGAATAGAAATGATGAATATGTCAAAGAGACAACAACCCGAAAAGAGCAGATGACAGCCGAAGGCCACCATATTTGATAAGGTTTTAGTTTCGAATGAGACAGTAACCATCGTATTTTCAGAAAATTTCTAAACGGATAATGAGAGTTTAGCGACCTTGACTG